ATTAATAAAGATGATTTAACTTTAATATCGATTGAAAATATTTCATGCCGCTGCAATCGCTACAGTCGGCTATAGTCCGCTACTGCAATGACCGCTACCGCTACTGCTGCCGCTGCGGCTATTTAAAACCTTGGTGCCGACAGAGATTGAAAACTAACAAAGGAATTAACAATTATTACATAAAGCAAGAAATAGTTGGATTTAGAAATAGGTGTAAGAAGGAAGAAAACCTCTTAGTATTGGCAGAAGAAGATAAAAGGTGAAGATAGCCTCGCAGAATAAAATGAGGAATCTACTGGTCCTGTGTAGTTAGAAGAGAATGGAAATACACATTCGCGTACTGGTGGCATCTGTTGGTGGGGGTTGTTACGTTGTTATAATACCGCCTTTGCGTGCGTTCGAATATTTCCTTTTAACGGAGTTGTTATAATTCCGTCTGAATGAGACGTTTAATTGAACGGTAAAAGGACTATCTAACCAAGTTTTTCTTTTTGGAGTCTTGATATGAGTTTTTGACTTTAAAGAACTAATTTATTAAATCTAATGATCATTAAATAGTTAACAAAATTATTATAAGGCATAATAATATTTTTAAGCATTATAAATAGTATTGGGCAACTAGACATTTCGTTTCAGTTTTACCTCTCTATTAAGCTTTGGTTTAATGGTCTAAATTTTTTTTAAGGAAAAGAGTCCTCGAACTTACATAAAAAGGTCAAATAAGGCCTTATATAGGAGGTTTTGTCCGGCTGTCGTCATTTGGGGCGGTTCCCGTTGGAATTTTTGATGATTTTTTTAATCATCTTATTCATTGAGTCTAGTTTACTCATACCAAATTTTAGCTAAAACTTCAATCGAGAAGACATTCAAATGAATTCTTGAAGATTAATGCGCAGTTAAAAACGCATTTATTTTCAAAAATTTATTTCAATGCCTTCCCGATTGAAGTTTTAACTGAAATTTGGTATGGGTAAACTAGACTTAATGAACAAGATGTTCAAAAAACTTCTTCAAAAAATTCCACAGGGAACCGCCCCAAATGGCGAAGGCCGGACAGAACCTCCTATATAAAGCCTTATTTGACCTTTTTATGTAAGTTCGATGCCCTATCTAACCCTTTTCTCTTTTTTTTTTTAATGAAATACGTATGAATATGTACGTATGGTGTATGTATTATACATTTTAGTCTTAAAATACGAATAAAAAATCATAAACATGAATATAATACTTGAATTATATGCGAACTATATACGAATAAACGAATAACTATTACTCTGTGCATTCCATTTTAGTATTGATAATATGAAAATGATATTAAAATGCTCTCTGTTATAAATACTATCAAAAATGGAGATAATACTCTGTGCATTCCATTTTAGTATTGATAATACTGACTTTTAATCATAGTCATGAATTAAGCAATACTGACTTTGAATCCTAATCTTTCATTAAGTGAACTGACTTTTAAACCTACTCATTCATTAAGAATACTCCTACCTCATGAATTACATTGACTGACTTATGCTAATTTTTTTTAAGGGAATTTGGGGCATGTGATAATGAAGAAGCTAAACAGGAATACTTTAGCAAGTCAGGGTTGGCACGTTGATTTCAATGGGGATGATGGCTATGTAATAAAAAAAAGGAAGGCAACAACTCACTGTGAGCCTCAGAAAAATAACTGTTCTTGAAGGAGATGGAATCTCAGTGGGACCCCTTGTGCACATGCCATATGTGCAATATTTGATAAGGGAGATGATAAGGGAGATGATCCTGAAGCATATGTGGACAATTGCTACTCCAAAGAGATGTACCGGAGGACTTACTCATATACCCTCCAACCAATTAATGGGGAGTTATTGTGGTCAAGAACAGAGCATGAAGAGATTATGCAACCCTTGCCCAAGAAAATGACTGGGAGACCTAAGAAGAAAAGGGTACGAGAAGAATATGAAGTCTGAACCACCACCTATAGGTACCCAAGTTAGCAGAAAAGGGAGAATAATGACTTGCTCCATTTATAATAAGGAAGGTCACAACAAAGCTTCATGTCTAATGATTCTCTTGGGGATGGTGTAGCCACAGTAAGAGCAAGAGGAGGTAGAGGTAGGTCTACTCATTCAACGGGGGATGGTGAGGCCACAACGAGAGGAAGAGGAGGTAGAGAAAGGTCTAGAGGAGGTACAAGTACTAGGGCTAGAACACACAGAGGATTTGTGGTTTACTTCAACTCCAACACTAGTGAAACCATTTTAGATGTAAGTAATAAGAGCATTTATAAATAATAATAATAATAACATAAGGATCATTCTTAATGTTATACTATTTTACATCATTGCAGTCCGGACAAGGAAGTGAGAGAATCATGAGTGAAGGGTGCCCAAAAAGTTGAAGTGGAGTGAAGGCTATGAAAGTGAAGGATGTGAAGTGAAGGCTAGGGGTGGATTCGGTTCAAACGGTTCGGTTTTCACCTAAAACCAAATGTCGAACCAAAGTAATAAGTTCGGTTCGGTTCGGTTTTATGTTCAAAATTTTGGAACCACGGTTTGTTCGGTTCAGTTTATTTCGGTTCGGTTTCGTTTTTTTTTTGGTTTCTACCGAAGTATTTTGGGAAAGTTCCCGAAATAGGAGTAAATAAGTTTGAAAATTCAAAAATAGGATTGTCATGTTTTTATTTCCAAAATAGGAGTAACTACTGTCAGGTTTGGAAAATACTGTTATCTTTACAGTCTGGTACTGCCAAAACATGGCAGTAATTAGTCTATTTTGGGAATAAAAACATGACAGTCCTATTTTGGAATATACAAACGTTTTTAGTCCTATTTAGGGTAATTTCCCAAGTATTTTTGTTGATTAAAAAAATAGTAATTGGAAAAAAAAAACTACATCAAACTATTATTAATAGTAATACAATACATAAACATACATAATAAAAAAGAGAGAAGAAACAAATGCACTTCCAAGCAATGAATTAGAGAGTACGTGTATACCAATTTAATCATTTTCTAAATTAATTAAACACATGAGTTTATTTGTGAATTATATACGGTGTATTCACAAGTTAACATTTTATTAGTAAATAACTTAATCTACTTTCTTTTTAGAGAAATATATTTATGCTTTAAAGTTTTAAATTTTCTGCTATGTTGTTTAAAGTATAGTTTATATTAATACATATTTGTTCAATAAGAAAAATCATGTGATAACAAACATACATAACATATAATTATCAACAAAGTATCATTGTCATGCAACAACGAGCAAAATGTAAATTACGGTTTAAAATATCAACAGATTAGTATTATAGCAATAGACTTAAATGTATGTATACGTGTTTCACTTAGTTAAACCATAAATATTAAATGTCAATATCTTGCAAATCATAATAAATCTAGTATCAAACATTAATTTTCCAGAATTAAGAATTAATAACTAAACAAAATATTATAATTAATGATTAATAAAATATTATAGTATCAAACATTAATTGTCCTTGCATTGCGCTTAACTAGTCAGCTACTCTTGAGATCACGGCCTTTGCTTCATCTGTATTTTCGTTCCTCTTTTCAGCATTGACTGCTACAGACGTTTACAATCCATCTTTCCACAAAAAGTAACCACACGCCCTAACCTGAAATTCAATGTCACAAATAAATAAATTCTGAAGCTTCTTCTTTGCAGACCAAATTACATAAATTCCAACAATTACAATCAAATAATTTACCTAATTGAACAACAGATAACTATTACCTTCCAATTCTGGCACCCGTAGAACATTCTCCCACTCTCCCGTCCTACACAGAACGGAGCTTTCAATCCGCAATAATAGTACAACGAAGGCTCGTAATCCAATCGAAAGCTTCGTCCTTTGTCGCATTTGAAGAAGATGCAGATGACATTGTATTTGCCACTACTGCAGACGACCTCTAATTAGGGTTCTTGATCGTAATAGAGAATGGATAACTAACGAATGGACAAGAGAAGCATCAGACTTAGTAGGAAATAGATTAAATTGAGAAAAAAAATTAAATTATCCATGTTGGCAGCCACATCAGCAGTTAATAGGCTAAACCGGCTCATTCCCGACTAACAAGACGAATTGATCATTTTTAGCACTTTAGGGACTTCGTTGAAGCTTAAAGTAGTAGAAGGACCCAACTGACTTTTTTAAAAAAGTACGAAGACCTATTTGATAGTTTTCCCTAAAAACTATAAGATGGTCTATAAATAAAAATATTGTGCACTGCAGCTGTTTTTAGGACAGTTTCTTTTCCAACACAAGAAATGTGCACATTATTTTGAAACAAACCAAAAATGGAAGTAAGACATTTTATTAAAAGAGGGAGTATAAAGCATGGTTAGATATTTCCACCTAAAATAATGTGTGAAATGAACTAATGAGCTCAGACCAACTTGTATTTTGAGAAGTAGCGCAGAGGTTCACGTCTTTCAAAATTCAAATACCCAAGTAGTATAAAGTGTGAATGGATATTTAATATTAAAAATATAAGTCTATTCTAAATGATTTATGATAAATTTCTTGGAAAATATCTTTGAGGGGAGAAATAGTCATGGACCCGGGCCAGGCTGGTTCCGGTTCCGGGCCGGGCCCGGCCGGTCCGGGCCTCCGTTTTTTTTTTTGTTTTTTGCTTTCCTAACCCCCCCTCACCCCCCAAACCTCCTAAACCCCTCCTAACCATCAAGCCCAACCCGGGTGGAACCCCAAAAATTAAAAAAAAAAATCAATTCGGCCCGGCCCCGACCCGGCCGGTTCGCCGAATATAAGACCCGGGCCTAGGCCCGACCCGGACCCGGACCCAGCAGGCCAGTTCCGGTCCCGCACAATAGCGGGCCGGGCCAGTCCCGGGCCGGGCGGCCCGAACCGGGTCCAAGACTAGGGAGAAAGTGAGTTACGCAGTATTTATTAAAGTTCACCTTCGAGGCTTCGAACAAATTGAAAATCTTACAAGTTACGATTCAAATTATCGGGAGCAAAAAAGTGGAACAATTGAAGTGATATGATAATAATATAATGGCTAAAATCGAAATAGATCCGGCCGAAAAACAATCAATATACGGAGCATATATTATTTTATAAATCCTACTAAATCACAAAAATATAGAACATCTATTGGATCTCACATGGGAGAGTAGAACCAATACACAACGTTGGATAATTGTAAATAGAGGATGAGAGTTATATCGTCCACGTCAAACAAAACGAAAGTAACATTCCAACAAGCCAAACCAGCTTCAAACTCGTTTTAAATCTCTTACCTTCTGCGCTTCTTTTATTTTTTCTAGTAAACTGATTTCTCTCCTCTCTTCTCTTTTATTTTTAAAACGTCTCTTTAAAGTTTAAGTGCATGGCTTCCATGTCACAGACAGTGCTGTCGCCTGTCATCAAGATTGCATTTTGTGTTGTTCTTCCAACCCCCACCAACAAAAAAGTGCCGCCTTCAATTGCTTGAGCTGCTAGCTGATATTCCCTGAGCGGTGATTGATGACCTACTGAGAAATGGTTCAGCATTAGATTGTCGTTGTGGTTGATGTTCATCCAGTGTAACAGCACTCACACTCTGAGCTGTTGCTTAAGCACATCCGAACGTGGACTTGAAAGAGAAGAGTAGTGAATGGTTGGTGGCAAGATCCATTTCGCCCAGTCATTCCGCGCCCTTAATTTCCCATCCTGCGTAATGAAAAGGCATGCCTTCAATGTATGCACCAACAAAAAAACATCCATTGTTTACTACATGTTCTAAAAATACTGGCCTAAGATATTAGGTGATGACACGGTTCCAGTCTGGTCCATCCTAGAAAAATAAGAAAGTTAACTAGAATCACAGGTAAGTAGGTCCCAGTTCTGGTCTGGTTCTGTTTAAATTGTGAGTTACACTATTTCAAAGGATGTCCCAATTCGATTTCTAAGACCACCAGTTCAGGCCTCCATTTAATAAAGTCGAAACATTAGATCATGGTCCGGCCTAGTGTCCATTCACCCTTACCCTACATTTAAACTTAGGTAAAAGTAGCACTTGGGACTTGGGAGTGAATCCCAAATGTACCCAACTACATCTATATAATAGTTCAAGCCATAGTTTACAAGATGGATATATAATTATATATGTATGTGTGTGTGTGTGTGCATCTTTTAATCTAAAGAATAAAATGAATATTGTCTTATTTATCACATGGACGGATTTCAAAATAATCACTGTTCTTCAGGTAGTGTTCTGCTCCATGCCTTCAGAAGTTGCATAGCAAAGTGTATGATACACATACATATCAAGTCATTTTCCATGTTACTCGAAGTATCAAACTATGGAATATCAAAAACTCTCATCAAAGGTCCTTTTAATAGGGCAATTATATTTTCTTAACGTATTTATTGTTTTTTTCATGGTTGTCCCTTATATATATGAATATATCATGTTTATTTGTTAAAAGTACTCATGCATGAGACATAATAAAGAGGGTAAACTAGAAAATCGTAAACTTTAAAAATATCAAGAATATTAACTGCTTTCCTTGGTTTGTATATCTTGGTCAATTGATCCTCTTATAATGACAGAAGGGAGTAGCTACTTCATGTCATTGCCAAAATATTTTATAATTGAAATTGCAACTGATTATTCAGAAATTAAAACATCCAAACAGGAAACCAAAATACCTGTACTTCTACAACACTTGAAGTTCTTAAAGCATTCACAATAAGCTGTATATCGTCTGTCAGCTCAGCAACCTATATACCATAGACAGAAAAGAAACAAGTGTTACAGCATGTAACTAAAATGTACATTGCAACAGTATACTCTACAGATAAAAGCGTTGTGACTGGAAAGAATGACTAAAGATAACATTGTCCGAAAGAACCAAGCTTCAACAAAACACAAATTGCAACATTGTTTCCAGTGAGCAAAACAACACCCATAGGCAGGCGTGTAACCTCCAGCTAAACAAATAATGCATGCAATGGGAGATTTTATGGTTGAGGTGAATACAGGTGCAATCCAATGAAGACATATTGGTACAGCACTGCTTTAGAAATTGCAGAGGATTATAAACAGAAAAGCTTAGGGGTATATTAATGTGGCATCTACTGGCATAAGAAATTACCAAGCTAACCTCAGCAATGTAAAAAAATCACCTTATAGTATATCAATGTAGGTGTACTAAATTACTACAGGATGCTAAAGTACTATATTATTCAAAAGATGGGTATTTACACAGGAAACTAGAGAGCAAAAAGGGAAAATAATACATGATGCAGATCATTAGAAATCACAAAGGTGGAAAGGGATGCACAAAAATGTGTAACAGGGATGCATCACACCAGTTCCCTCACAGCAAACCTCTTTCATATAATGGAGAAGTTTTGCAATTAAAATCCCCTGATGGATGAAGGCCCCCACCAACACCATCAGAGTTAAAGACTACATACACCATGTGCATACCCAGACCAACTATCCAGTTAAACGACTAGATAGGAAACTGACATAAATGTATATGGGGTGATTGTAAAGGGTGATTCACATGTGCAAATAAATAAAACCAAGGTCTCGGGGACAAAATATTTCATTCCAACCTACTCACTTTTTTGAAGCTCGCTATTAATTTAACCGGAACCCATCCTTGCTTATCCATTTCCTTTCGCAAATACATATCTTTAATTAAATTCTCACTACTGCAAGGTAAGATGAAAATCAGGTGTTAGCAATTGTATCAGGGAACCTTCTAAATAGAATCACAACTATGCAGTCATGAACTCATAATAATAAACCAAACAGTAACCAGTAAATAGTAAAGATAGCACCTGAAGTAATAATCTATCTGGTTTACAATTTTAGAAACCAATATGGGATCTAGAACAGGATAGAACATTGGGACACCAGGTGGCGGAGATGGCAGCATGGGCATTGCCAACGGATCTGGTTGTGGCCCTGGTACATAATACATCGGAGGAGGAACTTCTGGAAAGAAAAAAAACTTCAGTGGAAGGAAACAAAAAATTAAGCAGAGAACCATAAAAGCAATGCAATTCACCTGGATACATCATGTGAGAGCCCATGGGACGCATAGGCATTAGAGGAGAAATAAAAGGAGGGGAGGGAGGAGGTGGACCATGTAGGAAGGGCATTGAAGGCACCCTTAGCGGCTGCAAGTGAGCATCTCTGTTTGCATAACTTCTATTATGATTCCAATCCTGATTTCCACGTTCTTGATGATAAGTTCCATCCCCTCGGGGACGAGGTCTATTGTTACCACCCTTCCTGGGTGAACCTCTCACGTAGTGTTGGTCATTCCCACCATGTGATTGAGACCCAAAACCTCCAATCTGCCCACCTTCTTTGTGGGCATTATCTCTTGAATGTGATTCCGCATTGGATTTTCCAGGTGCGCTCTCCACCACTGAATTATGTAGTGGCTGCGTCTGAGATGTACTGCCATTAGCCAATGCAGTACTGCTTGAGTTCCCTCCAGCACGCTTATTAGATCTGTGGCGAGAGGGTACATGGTTTGGGGTTGAATTTAAAGTTGTGTTATTTGCATGAAGATGCTTAGGAGATGGTGTAGTAGGAGCACTGGTGCCCTGAAATATGCACACATAACCCACAAAAAGTGAACATCTTCATAGTTCACAGTATAAAATCTTTGACAAATATATCAGAATTTTAAAGCTATGTACAATGGCGTTCTATTTAAAATTACAATTGAAAGAACCTTAGACACAAGTAACAGAAGACAATAAATCCGAAAAAGGATAAATGTCACAGATTCAGTCGCTTGCAATTGAAAATAACCTTAGAGAAAGCGGCTGGACGATCAGAGGGAGTTCTGGGGGAATCATAAGGAGCAGATTTCGGTGAAGCCTTAGTGGACTCCGAGAGAGCAGGCCAAGACCAGGCCCCCATCACAGGACCAACCTCCATGACACCGTTTGGTTTGTTCCAAGCCAGCTTTTTTACGGCATTACTGCCTCCATCACTGTTATCAGAGCCATCTCGCGGAGCTTCAGAAGCAGTATCATTCTGCAAGGAAGAAACGGAGAAATTCCCAGTAGCGGCAAGAGCAGCTTTGGAGGGGGAACAATCGCCAGACACGTATCCGGTTTGCTCTTGAGAAACACTAGCCGCAGGCGAACCCGGACATTGCGGAGGAATCATATCAGAGGCTATCTGGGCGGCAGAGGAGTTCATTATTAGATGATGATTAGGGTTTGGTTTCTCCCAAAGCTGGAAAACTAAAAATTAGGACGACTAAAACCTGAAGAATCCGATCAACTAATTTAATCCAAACCACAGAGTAAACAACAAAAAAAGAATGGGGAGAATCATCAAACCACTAAAGAGCCGTACGGGAGAAGGAGACAGAAGGAAGGCTGTATCTTTCCTTCCCGGGACAAAAAATCTCGCCGGAGTGATCCGATCGGTTCCGCGGAATCGAGCTCCGGAAGAAGACGCAACAACAAGCCCGCCGGCGAGAGCAGAGCACAAGGCGAGAGAAGGGTCCTCTCTCCGTCGCTCCCTTCCTCTAATACGCTGTTTCGTTCCGATTCGGATTCTGAGAATCGGGAACAAAGCTGTGCCTTTGACGCTGGCGGCCACAATGTTTCGGTGGTCACGCCGTAGGTGGCTGTCCCGTTTTATTTCTCACGTAGTATTTCATTACCACTAGGACTACACCCCCCGTATTCCTTGTTTGAGTTAATTATTCAACTGTTTAATTTTTAGGAAACTGCCGGTATTTTATTTTAGTTAATGAAAAATGCAAATAAATATTATGAAAATTATACATGGTTTTTCATTTTTGATGTATTTATCCTAAACTGAATGATTGTAAAACAATATGTAGTACGGAGTATATAATTCCTTGGCCTATTCTTTAACATTTATTTAGGATGAAAATCAGACTCTTAAAGGGTGTTTGGATCTGATTCTTAAAACTGCTTCTGCAGAGAGCAGAAGCAGTTAAAGTGTTTAGGTGAAAGTGTAGAAGTGATTATGGTGTTCAAATTTACTCCTAGAGTCAGTTTTTTTAGAAGCTGGGGGTGACCAGCTTCTAAAAACTGATTTTGATTTTGCTTCTACTTTAATATACAAACCTAGAATGGTCGGATGTTTCATTAAAAAATAAATGGAAAAATTGATAAAAATAATCTCACCTTTCACTGGTCTTCTCATAATAATCCCACATTTACATAATCCCATAATAATCCCACCTTTGCACTTAATCTTCTTTCATTGGACCTTTTTTTTAAAAAATCTTATATAAATAATCTCACCTTTGTAGGTCATCAATAGGTCAGGATCCGATGAAAGAAGATGAGGTGCAAAAGTTAGATTATTCTTGAATTACGTAAATGCGAGATTATTATGAGAAGATCAATGAAAGATGAGATTATTCTTGTCAATTTTTCCAAAATAAATTAACTTGCCAAAATTAAAGATATTTTGTTATGCGTAACAATTAGTCAATTGCCATGGAATATTGTTTAATGATATCTTTGATATAATAATAATAACCTAACTTTGGTAATAGTTTAATAAATTATACGCATATCTAAATGAATATTGGCAAGATAGAAATTGCATTAAGAGCGCCATTATTGGGTTGATTTAATTGGAAAATAATGTGTTGACTAATACTTTTCATATCATTAACTAGTTTCACACACGGGCCGTCATATAAATTCATCATTGGTATTTTTCGTTCCAAATATTTTTTTAGATTAGATTGACCAAAATCACAGAGTTTGGTAGAACATATATTTATTTAATGATGAACAACACAATTATTGTTTTCATCCAAAGTCATCCGTCCATTATTGTTTCACTTGGGAAAATAGTAAATTAAATGGTATAAATTAAGTGTGATTAAGGTTTATTTAATTTTGAATACTTTAATTTATTATAAGTAGACCGAGAAAAAGGAATGTTGGTCTACCTATGACTCTATGAGTCAATATTATACTTTGCTTGTATCCAACTATCCATGCAGATGAGCATATGCTAGTAACTGAATCCTTCAGCTACTGGTTAATGACATATATGTGCATTTTTCATTAACCAAAATAAAAAACCGGCAATTTCCTAAAAATCAGACTCTTAAAATGACTTTAAAGTAATGTTCAGTTGTAGTTTGATTGTTGTCTAGAATTCAGCTACTAGTGGCTACGTAGTACTAGTTTGATTGTTGTCTACAATTCATTAACTAGTAGCTGAAGGATTTAGCATATCATTAACTCTGAAGGATTCAGCTGCTAGTTAAACTGAATCGAACCGAAATCGATAAAAATCGAACAAAACCGAACTGAAGTAACGAAATTCGAACAATCCGTCATATTTTATTAAAAAATAACAAATCCAAACCGAATCAAAACGAACTAAACCAAAACCGAAAAATAGTATGGTTTTTGTTTGATAATAATTCTCCCAACCCGTTCCAAACCGAACCGAACTGAAATCGATAAAACGATATGCCTAGTCCTACTATATATCACATCACGGCCATCACCAATAATTATGCTAAAAAATAAATGATTAATGTACGCTTACACTTATGAGCAGAGAAATAGTTTTTCCTTTCTTCACCTAGCTTTGACCAAGGATCTTAGATGGGTCAGTTTGGGCCACACATGCTGAAAGAATATGGGCTTGTCATGAGTTGGATCGAAACAAATTTTATAATTTTGTGTGGGCCCTTTTATGTTCATATTAGAACCCAAAATATTATGAGTAAGGGGATGTTTGAAACTCATTCTGCTTCTGCTTCTTTTTTTAAGCAGAAGCAGAATCAGAATAAGTTTTCAGAAGCTGGTCACCCCCAATTTCTAAAAAAACTGATTCTAGGAGTAAATTAGAGCACCAGAATCACTTCTGCACTTTCACCCAAACACTTCAGCTTCTACTTCTGCTCTCTGAAGGAGCAGAAGCAGTCTTAAGAATCAGATCCAAACATCCCCTAATTCTATTTATGGCCTCCACATTGGGAAGTGCAGCTCCCAAACTAAATATTTATGAATAAAATAAGTTAAATACCCAACTTAAAATAATAGAAGATTGGTATGAATATATGATCTATGAGTAGTCTTCATGTCAGGCCGGCCTGACGGGATGCTCCGTCCGGCCGAGGGCATTTCGGGCACTTACCGGTGGAATTTTTTGATGAAATTTTTTGAGCATGTGCTTCATGAAGTCTAGTTTATCCATACCAAATTTCAGCTAAAAATGCAATCGGGAAGGTACTCAAATAATTTCTTGAAGTTAACTGGGCAGTTCATACATATAAACTGCCCAGTTAACTTCAAGAAATTATTTGAGTGCCTTCCCGATTGCATTTTTAGCTGAAATTTGGTATGGATAAACTATACTTCATGAAGCACATGCTCAAAAAATTTCATCAAAAAATTCCACCGGTAAGTGCCCGAAATGCCCTCGGCCGGACGGAGCATCCCGTCAGGCCGGCCTGACATGAAGATTTGTCTATGATCTGTGGAGTAATACTTACTGGAATATGCTTTGGCCTCACCCATCTGAGGCTTTGTTTGCAACTAGTTGTGTGCTTAAATAAAAACACTTTTTGGGAAAAAGTGATTAGTAGTAAAAGTTAGTAGTGTTTGGTAAAATAAGTGCTTTTTGTGTAATAGAAAAAAAATAAAAAGTATATTCTACATGGAAGTCAAGAAAATAAAAGTTGGTAGTGTTTGATAAAATAAGTGTTTTTTTCTTAAAAAAAACCAAAACCACTTTTCTTAAGTGATTGCAAACAAGCTCTCAGTCTTAATGAAATTCTCTGTTTTAAATTAACCCATCGCCATAATCCTTTTCGGATTTAAGTCACATCGCCATAATCCTTTTTAAGCTTTCTACCGTTATGCTTGATAATTTGATATTATTCCACCAATTCCACGGATGTTCAAACATCATGCCCTTGGAGAAAGTACTGTCGTGATTTATAATATACTCGTATTATAATCATAACAATAATTTGTTTACAACCATAACAAATTTTAGTAACCATTCTCACAATGCAAAAGAGAGGAAAATATTCCAAGTAAATATTCAAAATTTAATCTACTACAAATCTATTGTTTTATATAGTAAAGTTGAGTTAAAAATCAATGATGTGTCAGCTTTCTATTGGACAAATCAAATTCTATTATCACTTCAAATAAATCAATTAATTAACTAACGGTTGATATCCCTATTATTTCTCTCCTGTGCATGAGTGCATCACCGCTGATTTGGAGCAAGGGTAGGAGAAAAAATCTCACTTTTTTAAAGTGATATAACTTTTATATTTAGAATTCAATTTTTACAAAAAATATAACAAAACTTATAATTTTTTATGATCTTTCATATGACACCAATATCATATACTCTCTCCGTCCCAATTTGTAAGATACTTTACGGTTTACGATGTTTGACCGACGATAAAGCAAATTGATCCCTGTCAACACTCAAATTAGTTTTATAAAATAAAATTTACATATTCAGAAACTACATTAAAACCGCTACAAAACCTGCAAAAAATAATTCACATTTCATAAACTTTTGATATATAAAGTAAAAGATTAATAGTGATTTGTGTTGACCAAGTGAATAGTAAATGTATCTTACAATTTGGGACTGAGGGAGTATATAAAAACAGAAAAATATCTATATATTGTTTTATACTTCGTATTATATAGTAAAGTTGGTTTAAAATCAATGATGTGTCAACTTCTTATTGAACAATCCAAATTCTATTGTGACTTCAACTAAATCAATCAATTAACTCACGGTTCATCCCTATTATTTCTCTCATGTGCATCACGTCTGATGTGGAGCAAGGGAAGGAGAAACAATCTATGTTTTTAAAAGTGATTTAACTTTTATATGTAAAATTCAATTTTTACAAAAAAAATTACATACCAAAAATCATAATTTTTAGGGAAAAGGTGCAAATAGGACCATGTACTAGCCAAAAAAGGTCAAATAATTTTTAAACTTTCATATGACATTAATATCATATAAATATACAAATAAAAAATTATATATTACTCCGTATTTATATAGCAAAGCTAATTAAAAAGTTCTGTTGATTAATAAAAATTCTACTATCACTACTAAAATATTTAATCTATATAGGTTGGCTCGGTTCATCATTGTTGTTCACTACATGCACCACTGCTCATTTGGAGAAAGGGAAGGAGAAAAAACAAATCTTTTTTTAAATGTATTACTCCCTACGTCCCACTAACAATGGTACAAGAGGGAGTAACATGCATACCAATAAAAGTGGTTATATGTGATTCATACTGAATTGATAAAGAATAAAGTTTGAATAATTTAGAACCACACAAATTTCACTAAATTTAGTATGGGACGGAGCGAAATGACAAATTGAGACAATGTTAGCGTGATAGAGGGGAGTATAACTTATTTATTAGTACTCCAATTTTTACCAAATGATGACATCAAAATTTATAACTTTTTATGATGTTTCATATGCCACCGATATTGCATATATATATATAAAAACATTATTTTATACAATAAAATTGAGTTAAAATTAAATGATGTGTCAGTCTCTTCCTGATTAAAACAATTGAGTTATAAATCATTGATATATCAAATCTATAGTAAAATTCGAGTTTAAATGTGCATTATGGGAAGCCCACATTTACACAATAGTCGTGACACATAACAAATCTAATATTCTTTAAATATTTAAATAATCTATTCGTTTACTCCCTCTCTCCCAAACTGATTTGCAAAATTGACTTTTTAGTAACACTTGACATTATCTAGACTCCACACATTAAAATATTTAATTAGTACATGACGGAGATGGAACGGCTAATGAAAAAGTCTAGAGAAAAAACAAGAGAAAAGATAAAAAGCATAAGCTATCATGTTACACTCTTATTCTTATTGTTTACTACGGAGTACGTATTACTCATTCTTATTTTATTCCGATAAGATCTGTCAAAATTAAAAATCAAATCAGATTAGACCAAAACTTTCAAACCATATCAGATTAAATAAAAAAAATCAGACCAGGCCTATAACACTCAGACCAAATCAGAAAAGTTCAGACATAATTTATTAGTTTTACTATCATGATGATTTTGATCCGATCTAAATATTTTTTTTAGGTTATTTTTGCTGGTTGCATTGCTTCCATTAAAATTAACTATGAATGCTGTTATTAGTATAATCATTATTTGTACGATTATTCCTAAATGATATTCATAAAACATCATATATTATTCCTACGATTATTATCAATGATAATATTACTCCGTATTATTTAACTATGTTACTATTAATGTATTTTTATTATTCAGTATTTATAAGTAACTATTATTGTAAATGTGTAGGTTATTGGTATATGGTATCTATAATAATTTAATTATAATAGTAATACTAAATAGTATAGTGGTATTTGTAACACTTATTATGATGATGATCATATTTATAAAAATAAGGATAATTATAATGATAATAAAATGATGTTATAATTAGATAAAATTCCACTAATATTACTCTTTTAAGAGTTACAGACAAAAATGTGAGTTTGTAACTTTAGTTACTATAATTATATTCAAAGTTACTATGATGTAGTGACCATGATGTAAATCATGAACACAGTTATAGTAACTACTTTTATTGGTATGTAAACCATGACCCATGAACACGGTATATTCAAACTTTTTTTTTAAATGTATTACTCTTAACGTCCCACTAACAATGACACAAGAGGGAGTAACATGCATACCAATAAGTTACCAAGTCACATTTTTGTTCATGATTTTTGTATTAGTAATATTTTAGGAAAAACCTCTTATAATTATACTTATATTTATAATTGTAATTATAGTCATAATTATAATTATAAATATGATTGATAATAATGACAATGATAATCACAATAATAATAGAAACTTAATAATACTAATAAACACTCAATCACATAATTTTTTATATCAGATCGGAATGATTCAAATCAGATAAAAATCATAAAAACTCAGATCAGATCGATCAGATTAGAAGATTCAGATCAGAAAGATTCGTACCACGGGATCATACAAGATCAGACCAGATCACATAAGGTCTGAAAATTTTCAAATCATAAATATTATAAATATCAGACGAATAGAACAACTTCTTCATACAACCATATTAATAGAGTATAATTCTTGGAATAAATACAATATCAATTTAGTTTCCAAAATATTTGTACAACATTGAATTATTTAAATAATGAGACTAATACACACTCTAATCATACAAAGTTAATCTTACATATTTGAGTGAGACTCTAACACAAGACCAAATAATTTTTTAAATAATGGAACTTAGTTCATGTGAATAGGACTATAATCGTATAACATCGACAATACACGTGAATATCTAAAATAATTTAAAATTGTGAACTCCACATATCCCCAATTCCAATTCATCACTTCCACTTACCCCTCATCATATAATTAGCCCTATAAATAATTAATAACTATTATAACAATAAGCACATAAACCACAATGTAAACACAAAATCATTCTCCAAAACATGGTGATTCCTCACCCGTATTTCATAGGGTGGTTAGTTCATAAAACAAAAATACTTCTTCCGTTTTTGTAAAAGTTGTCTGCACTATTTACATACCTACCACTATGTTTTTCTAATGATATATATATATAATGTAACTTTTTCTAAAATATTATGTATAAAATGTTATTAAATTTCTATTAATTTAAATTTTCGAAATGTTAACCTTTTTAATATTTACTAATACATAATAAATATAATTATAGTCAAAGTTGTGCGTTTGCAAGCATGAAATTCAAACTGTTGCAATTTTTAAAGAACGGAGGATAGTATATATAGTCAAACTTTTGATCATATCCTATGAATAATTCACAATGTTTATTAGAATTTTTCAATTGATCCATATCAAATTAACAGTACCGGGGCATGCCCCGGGTGTTACACTAGTTAGATAAGTAGTATAATGATATTTTGAATTTCTTACATATTTCTTGCAATATAACTGCAATAGATGTTGTTGAGATATTAGGGTCCCACCTAAAATATCACTAAGAAACCCAGGTATATATAGCGGAGCCCAACGGATACAATCAGGAACAAGGAATTGCCGTAAGATCAATTCTCGTTCGACCATTCCCGAACGGCCTGAACATAACACTTGGTAATGAAGAGCGTCATCCATGAAGGGTCAGCCCAAGGTTGGCGGGAAACCTAGCAAGTTGGCGGGAAGTGCATTTAATGATAGAGGTATGGGAGATCAAGTGGCAAGAAGATCGTCCACTCAGTGTCGGCTAGGTCACACGCCTCACCTACTGACTCATACTCCCTCCGTCCCTTACAACTTTGCTAACTTTTCTTTTTTGGATGTCCTACTAACTCTGTCACTTTCCCTTTTAAGTAAAGAATCTGTGATTCTAGTTAATTCTCTCTCCTCTGCACAAATCTCAACCACACAATTTTTGCTTTATTAATCCCGTGCCGGTCAAACTTGACAAAATATTGAGGGACAGAGGGAGCACTATAAATACTAGCGTTTAATTCATTGTAAGGGGTTAACATTTTGATACTAACTACCAATATATTACTTTCTGGCTCTTTTATTAGCAATTGATCCGGAACTCCCGTTCGTCCATTTCCTTGTAATCAGCACTCATATCCTAATATAATAATACAGTTGAGCAATTGAATCATCTTGTTCGTTGCCAAATCACCCTCACTTCATCTCATCATTAGCATCCCAACGATCGACGCTCCATTTTCCTGTGGCCCATTCTTTCACAGTAGTAGCATTTGATCTTCAAACGTGACTTGAACCTATCTCGAAATTGATACAAATCTCAGCTCTTACTCTGTCCACGGGTTTCGATCCTACCCCGATTCTCAATAACAGTAGCCTCGGAATGCATAGACTCACCTCGTTCCATTCTCCTTGCTTCTTCGCGTGTAACCCGACGTGTACACAAAGCCTGACAATGTGTTCGATCCCTCTTCTTCCTGATTTTGAGAACCGCGGTCTTCAATCTTCATGCCCCAAATTGTGACTGTTACGGTTGTGCTAATTTTTTCAAAAGGGCATAATAGGAATCATAAATAAGTTATTTTTTTTTTACCAGAAATATATGGGGCTTTGTTTAACAAATATGCCGTTTATCATTTAGATAATATATGGGGCTTTGTTTAGCAAATATGCGGCTCGTGTAGATTCCCCAAATATCATTTAGAGTTTAGAGGTCATGGTTTGAGCCTCTGAAATTCGTCGGTATAACCTATCCAACAATAATATAAAAGTCTTGACTTCAAAGCTTTGTTTATCTGGGAAGTAATGCAACTATTAGAACATACTCTAACTGTTTACGTTAAACTTTCAACAAGTTCTCAAAACTTTTAGGGAGTACATTTGCTTCTCAAACTTTTAGTTTAGGGAGTGTTTCAATTTGCTTCTACTTTTGAGAAGTGATTAATTATAGAGATTATATGAAAAAGATTAATAGTAAAAATTGATTAAAAGTAAAAGTTAAAGCCTTTCATATAAAATGACTTTTTGGGTAATAATGAAAAACAGTTTAAAACACTATTACTAGTTACTACCACTACTACTGCTATTTTTAACTTTCTTGAAGAAAAACTGAAAACCTCTTTTTTAAGCAATGCAAAACGCTCCCTTAGTTAGCCAAGCATAGGGTTCATTTTTTGCTTTCAAAGTTCTATAAACATCTGACCACCAATTGAAGAAACGGCAGAACCCATAAACAGGTTGGGGGCAAGGAGTAAAAAAGAACATCATTTCGAACTAAGGCCATTTGTGTCGATTTAAAAAACTGCATTGCACCTGAACACGAAATGAGAAGTCATACAACATCTTATGTCTTCCTAGAGCGGCAAAAGAAGAACAGGGCAGGGAATGAACTCGGCAAGCAGGTTTGCGTCGACATGCTTGGAGTGGATGGCATCCATGCTTAGTACAACCAAATCCAAGTTCATCTCATCTGCAACTTCACCAATGATTGCTGTTGGCTTTTTCCCTTCCCCTAGTCTCTCCAATATATTGAACTCCTGGAATCCGCCTACATATTCATTACAAAGCATTGTATCATCTTCATTATCTCAACTATGTAGATGTCAGTATGTAAAGTATTGCATTGTATAGGGAAATTGTTTGGACATCATGCAACCGATTGATTAAAACAAAGTGCTGAATCTCAACTATGTAGATGTCAGTATGTGAAGTATTGCATTCTATAGGGAAATTGTTTGGACATCATGCAACCGATTGATTAAAACAAAGTGCTGAATCTCAACTATGTAGGTGTCAGTATGTGAAGCATTGCATTCTACGGGGAAATTGTCTGGACATCATGCAACCAATTGATTAAAACAAAGTGCTGAATCACTATGCAATGTTTTCTCCATGTTCTAGAGGCCCATTCGGAATACGGATAAAACCAGGAAAAGAAGGTAGGGAAGAAAATTTAGATGAACAAAATGAATCTTAGTCACACATCCATTAAATTTCTTTTAGATAATTGTTCAAATCATTTTATTTATTTATTTATACAAGGACCAAAAATATTTTATTTTTATTAGCATCTGCCCAGGTAAGACCTAACATAAGACAATAACATTCCTAAGCATGCTCCCCTTTCCCTAGACTTCTCCAGGACCTAAACACACTAAAAATCCCTGCCCAGACTCACCTAGGCTGACTTGTCACGCTACGGAGTACAGTAAGCATGAATAGCACAAAGATGTGCTTGTGGCGTTTGAGCGTTTCATTCCTATCCGAGCATTAAGTTAGAGCACAGTTAGAAAAACATCCATTTTGTTCTACCAATAAAAGAAAAAGAAACAGCAAAAACAAACCTTCTGATAAATGCCAACGAATGCTTGATAATTGGGTTTCATGTTGTGGCTGTGAAGCTTTTTCATTTTCACCAATAACTGCAAACAACTCTAAGCTGTTTAGTTTCTACACGGCTTTCTATACAACAATCCAAAAATTATGATGCAAAAAAGGGACATGCCTACAACTGTTATATTAGCTCCATACTTTTTAGCCAAAGCAGCAGTAGTAGCGGCAGCCTGTAGATAAAGATTAATGTATAAAGTAATAAAGCATAAATAAAATCCATATGATTCCATCATTTTCATAGTTCCAATATGAGCTAAAGTGCTAAACCTGTCTTGAACCCTCCGACAGATAGGGGTTTTGATCCGTTATTGGTAAAAGCAGATGCTTGAAATCAGTAAAAGCATCTGCAGCTGTAGTGGCGGCAGCATCTGATGCTTGGGCCTTCACCTTTCCTGGAAACAGTGGGCTACGCACACATTATCTAATAAGATTAAGGGTATGCAGTATAGAACTGATAATACATTTTAGTAAGCATTTTAGTTATCCAAAGTTTGCAAATTCATTGATACTCATTAGTCTGTAAAATCTTATTATGCCGAATCAAAGGTTAAAGCTTGATTCTTGGTTCTTGATCAGCCATCCAAATTCACTTTGACAATATATAAATTTCTAGAAAATGAAACTAGCCATACCTGTTTGCCCAATTCGCAAAAGTTTGGGAAGAAATGCAAGATTGGGAGTCTTAAATCTTTGCAAGGAATTGCTGGGAAGAGAAGAACAGAAGGATGGGGTTGGGATTGAGGTTCCTGCAAGGCATTTTGAGGGGTTGATTGCAGGAGAAACTGGAACAAAGTAGTGAGTCATTGCCATGGAACTGATGGAAGGTAGCGGTGGCAATTTTTCTCTCTCTATTTCTTGATTTTCTAGAGGACTCTATAGCCTTGACAGTGACAGATAGTAATGGGTGAGGATCACCACTGGGCTAGTGGGCCGACATATAGAAAGCCCAACAAGGTTCTTGTTGGACCGTATAGAAGGCGTCAAACCAGCCCATGGATTAGGCTGAACCGCTGAACTGCAAACCGGCCTCTTTGGCATGATGGCAGCTACACCGGAGAACGACGACGACGACCTATCCGCGGGGGAATCGACGGCGCTGCACGAAATGACGACGTTCTCCCGCCACCGCTTCGGGAACTCAAATAATTCGGAAGAGGAGTTCTCCATCACCATAATTGAGGCAAGTAAGTATCTCAAAGTGTACCTGAAGTGTGAAAATTTGACCTAATAAGTACCTTATACCCTCTGGGTGTTTAACCTTCGTAGAACATGAAAGAAGAATACGGTCTGTTTGTGTGGCCGTGTAGTGTTATTTTAGCGGAGTACGTTTGGCAGCAAAAATCACGCTTTTCCGGCACCACCGTTGTGGAGGTCTGTAGATTTCATTTCTTATTTCATTTGTATTTTATTTTGTGGAGATTAGGTTTAGTATTGGTTCTACAGCTTGGTGCAGGAACTTCATTGCCTGGATTGGTTGCTGCAAAATTGGGTGCAGATGTCACACTGACAGACGATTCGAACAGACCTGAGGTTTGGCTTAAAAGATTATCATTTGATGATCATAAATGTACAACTGTACTCATCCTTCCTAATATTATCTTCATACTATCTTGTTCCGTTCATATCAAATAAACTTCATTTTTCTTTTACTTCATTTTTTTTTGTTTCATATTAGCCTTCTCTCCTTTCCATTACTTTAGAGTACACAGTTCCATTTTTTTAATCTAATTGAAAAGCAAGTCAAAAGTCAAAAGTCAAAAGAGGAGTTAATATTGGGATGAAGGGAGTAATTAATTTCTTTGAAAGAGGAAATGGAAGTTTTAGGTGTTGTTTGGGGATTTTTTTTAGAAAAAGAAAGGAGAGGTTAAGTTTTATTTTACCCATCTATCTATATTTGAGTATTTGTTGATTTCAACTAGAATTGTTTAAAGGATTAGTTATTCCTATATACGAAGTACATTTGTATCCTTGCTTTATTTTCAATTATATAAATGTAGAAATTGTTTAGAAAATAAATATCACTACTTTCTCTCCTCTCCAGAGTCCTCTAACAAAACTATCCCGTTGCTCGAAATTTGTGCTGCACTTGAAGATTGATAAACTTTTGATATATATATTATTATAGGTTTAATTTGAAGTTATATATTGTAGCAGGTTTGGTTGATTCTTTGAATCCTCAGAGAGGTACCATAGAGAACATAATCATTTTCTAGAGTGAAATTTAATGGAGTATAGATCTGCAGGTCTTGGCTAACATGAGAAGGCAGTGTGACTTAAACGATCTGAAGTGTAAGGTAAATAAATACCTGGTACTTTGTTTATTAAGTATATGCTTAATAAAAGGGCATCAACTTGACTGTTGACTGTTATTTACATGGTGTGTGTTCTAGATATTGGGTCTTACATGGGGACAGTGGGACTCAAATGTTTTTGATATACACCCAAACATTATCCTTGGAGCTGATGTTCTTTATGATGCAAATGGTATAGTTTACCTTAAAAAAAACTCTTTCCTTCGTGTTGTCTACTTTCTCTTTCATACCCTTTTTGATACTGCAACTGAAGTTGAAACTCTAATATGTATGGATGTCAAGCTTTCGATGATCTTTTTGCTAGCGTGACATTTTTACTTGAGAATTCGCCATCGTCTGTTTTTATGACTACTTATCACAATAGAAGGTAATTCTCTGATTCTCTCCTTCAGGTCTTTTTTTTGCTCTCTGTATCTTTTTTTTGCTCTCATTTTTTAAATCTACAATATGTTTTTACCATTGGTTCTGTTTAAACAAATGTGAACAGCGGGCATCATCTGATTGAGTTTTTGATGGTGAAGTGGGGGTTGAAGTGTGTGAAGCTTCTTGATGGATTTTCATTCATGCCAGCCCAGAAAGCATCTGGTTTGAGTGGTGATATCCAGTTAGTTGAGATTGCTTTGGATAGACAGTAAACAATACTGTAGAATATGACCAACTCGCCTTTTTTCTTTGAGTGCAAGTCAAACTGCTTCATATTTATCTTTTTAGATTAGAAGAATTGAATACTTTTCAACAGCTCCACCCCTTTTGCTCAGTCTAACTTCAGCATTGAAGTAAATGCCTGCTACGAGTAATTTTCAATTAATGAATCGCCTCCAAGATTGTTTATGACGTTCATGATCTTCAGAATGACATGATCTTCCAATTATCACGTCATTATAGTTATGACATAATTATTTTTTTACTGCTGAGTATTCTATAATCATTAAAAGTGTGTTTGTCATGGCTGACTTTTTACTTTATTTTTTAATGGAATAATGGATTATGATCAAAGCAGGTGAAAGACAAAAAGTTTTAACAGCTGAAGTTGTTCTGAAATATAATCATAAGCTATAGAATTTCAACTTCTCTAAATAATCATAGGCTTTTACAGGGAAAATAATCATAAGCTACAAAATTTCAACTTCTCTAAAACAGCTGAAGTTGTTCTGAAAAAGCTTTTTTCCATTATAATCTATCATTCAATTATCCCTAGCATGTTTGCTTGTAGTTCAACTTACGAACTCAGAAATAGTTGAAATGCTGGTTTTCCAATCATGCCCTAAACATACCAAACTCAATTCCTCATCAGCCAAATGGACTACAGTTCATTTATTTGATTGTACACATAGAATTGGATGCTCATGGGAAAAACGTAGGACTTTTAGTTATTAGTTAATTTAGTTTGGCTGCAGTTCTTGAAAATTGTCATTTCACTCTTATTTCTTCTAGTTTTACTAGTATTTCCTTTTCTTACGTGAAGGGGTATGTGAATTGAGTGGCTCATGATCTTGCACGGGCTGCGGATTGCTATGTGTGTGGCCTTATAAGTTATAATCACCCCCTCTTGTATTTCATTTTCTTTGGACCATGATGTTATTAATAATACTAAACTAGTTTTCCTTAAAAAAACAGTGGCCATTTGACCCTTATTTCTGATATTTAAACATATACTTTCCATAGTTCAGCAACTTTGTAAATGTCAGCTATTTCAACCGAATTTTCCGTGCCAAACACTCAAACAGGCTCTAGTTTTGACTCAAAAGTGGAGTACTCAACCTAACTATGGAAAGGGAAACAAAAACTTAGCCTCTTACTACAGGAATATATATATATATCCTAAAACATGTATTTACATTATATCTACAAACATATGTCCAGGGCCAGAATGGCATACAAAAAACTGCACAAAACAAAACTCTATACCTCCCAAACCAATCACTAGCATTCTGTTCAACATACAGATAGGATCATCATGTCTATACAAGGAGACCAAGAAACACTAGGCAAATGTGAACCAGAGCAAATGTGGTGAGCCTATCACTAACAGGGAATGCAAATGATTTATGTGTAATGTCTGCCCTCCCATCTGATTCTATATCACCAGCAGCCACAGCAGGAGCCACACTGGTTGTATTTGATGGCATGTTTGGCGTCTCAATGTCATAACCTATAAAATCAAATATATAAAAAGACATACAAAAATTGTTTGATTAAATTTATTTATTTTCAAAACGAAATTTTTTTACTATAGAAGTGGATAAGAAACTTACAGTCAAACTTCTTCCACCCAAGACTGACCTTTTCTCGATCAAACACAAACCGGTATCCTGTCATAAAGTTCTCTGCAATCACCCAAAGAAGTTATTTCAAATGAACCAAAGGCGTTTTTAACTTTTAACATAACAAAAACTGCTTAAACAGAAACTTACGCCCAATTATATTATAATCTTGGCTCTTCAGAACAGCAAGGCAATACACAAGTTGACTCTGCAAATTGTTGTGCAGTAAAGAAATCATAAGAGGGCCAGAGGGGAGCCATCAGACTCTTGGGGGGAAGGGGTGATGCACTAAGGGTCTGTTTGGATGGAAGGTAAAATTTTCCAGTGCTTAGCGTATAGTCTATATTATGATTAACACAGAGCACAGTTTTTCTAAAACCAAATAAAAATATGTAAATGTTATATGTCCACATATCATGTAACCTTTCATTTAATATAACATCTTAAATAGTAAATACATGCCAATGTATATACAGACAGACAGAGCCATACAAGTTGTTCCCCTCCAACACCCTCAATCCAAACAGGCCTTACACTTTTATATACCTCAAGGGGGATGACTATCACAGGATCAAAGACTACAAGGCGGCCTCCTCCTTCCATTGTCAGGCTCATAGTAGGAACCAAACTAGTACTTGAATTAGATCTGTCAATATCAGTTGCTAACAAACTGAAAAATATGTATTATCCTTGCAAAAGAAGAAGCGAACAACAAAAAATCCCACATTCTAACCTCATTTCGTAACAATACTCAAAAGGGATTCTTTGATCAAACTCAAATCGTCTATCCTGTGTTTGTGAGTCAAACTGAACCAAGACCAACAAAAATAAAATAAATAAAAACAGCAAATTATATTCAACAAAACAAACCAGAATTAGTAAATAAAAATTACTCGTATAATAATTGAGAATATGAATCATTACACTTTGTGAGAGTTTTGTGTAAGGCGGATCATCCAGATAGGTGAAGGAAGTTCCAGTATCAAAAAGTGAAGCGAACTCATAATCAATAATATCAGTGCCAACCTGAACCTGTGCAATGGTGATGTTGTACCTCGGGCTGGTTTCATCATACAATGAGTAAATGAAAAAAAAGGCCTTGCTTGACAAGAGGGGAGATTAAGTAAATAATCAGGCACATGATTACCACTTACTGCAACGGATTCAAATGGAACGGGGTCTCTTCCTGGTCAACACTACCCTTATCTCCAAAGTTAATCCTTCCCACTCCATCACGCCCAAAACACATCGAGAAAGAATTCGGTATGTACGCTTGTTGAGATAGAACGCTTGGGACCGATATTTTCTCAAAACCAAGCCCAAATAACCCATTTGGTGCTGCAACATCTAGGAATGAACCTGTTTGCACTTGACCACACCTGCACACTTAAGGCCGTGTTAGGATCCCAGAAAGTTGGTAGGCAATTGAATGGGAAATAAAATAAATTTTGTTACATGAGTTCAGATTTCCTAGTATTTAATTACTCCATATACAGCAGAAAAATCTGAGTTTAAACACATTATAAAAGAATAAGGAGTATGAGCTTTCCATCCAAATATTTCCTATATTTTCTTTCCCTAGCACTTTGAGTTCCAAAGAGAGCCTTTAAGAAACTTGCTAAAACTGACCCGAAGATAACATAAGCATCAACAAACTTTTCATCAGTGTCATCTGTTTCCAGTTGCAGAACATCTTCAACCAAGATTCCAGAAGTTGAAGTCTCCGACGAGAGATACGAAACAGAATAAGGGCAACGGCTAAATGCGTCAAGGCAGTTGCTACGATGAGAGCAGAAGGTGTTGGTGCAGGTGATCTTCTTTCCCGTTGATGATCCATTGAAGTTGTAAATGCTAAGAGCAAAATCCTGCATGCATCATTAAAGAAATAAATTCCATAACTTTTTCTTAATCAAAAGAAATAAAGGAGATTTTTTTAGAGGGGAATTAATTTACATACAGAATCATAGAGAGTGGAATCATCAGTAGAAGTGCAATTGGAACAATCACAGGGTACCCAAAATAGATCACTCCCAGTATCTAGGGCTACCAGAAACTTCATCCCGGGCGTTCCAAGAGTGACCGTCGTGTAATGCAAACTGCATATTTTTCCAACATTGGGAAATTTAATAAAGTAATTTGAAAATAAAAACAAGTTCACACTTGAAAAAGATGTTTTCAAGACTCAAAAAAAAAAGTTTTCAAGAATGGGGGATCTTACAATCCCAAAGAGCTGATACGGTAGGTGGCATTCCCGTCGGCGAAAGTAAGCGGGCTGGAGCTGGTGCTGTCGGAGTCGAACAGTCTCCGGCGATGGAAGAACCGGTCGTGGGTCGCCAGTTGGGTGTAATAATCAAGACTGCCCTTGGCCGGCCAACTGTCGACCGGGAAAGATGCGGCGGTTCGCTGGAGTGCCAATTTCTTGACGGGATCGGAGAACCGGTGGTGGAGTTCAAAGGTGAAAATGCGAGCATGGGAGAGGTGAAATGACGAAACTAAGAACCCTGCGATCAAGAAAGTGAGAAAAGAAACCATTTTGTTGGTTGCCGTCGACTGATATGAACTGCGTAGTATGATAATGAAGAAAGTGAAACTGATTGTTAAGAATTAGACAGAGGAATCTGCAATTGATCAGAAACAGTGATTTTGACACTTTTGGTTGATGATGAAGTGCTCCCTAGTGGCTAGTAAGGATGAAAAGTTCATGTTTACGTCTTCTTTAGTCTGATTATGAGAGATTATTGCAGAGTTGCATACTAGCAATCTAGCATGGACTGGTGGGCGTAAGATAGTTGAAGAAGAGTTGTTATACGGGGTAAGGGGGTGTTTGGAACTAATTCTGCTTCTGCTTCTTTTTTAAAAGCAGAAGCAGAATCAGAATCAGTTTTCAGAAGCTGGTACCCCCCAGCTTCTAAAAAAACTGATTCTGAGAGTAAATTAGAGCTCCAGAAGTGTTTCTGGAATTTCACCCAAACACTCCAGCTTCTACTTCTACTCCATGAAGGAGCAGAATCAGTTTTGAGAATCAGATCCAAACACCCCCTAAATCGTTTGTATTGTTATGTAACTTTGGGTTGGTCTTTCAAAAAAAAAAAACTTACTAAATCTAGTGTTTTCAAATGTCACTTGTTTTACTCGCTCAACTTGTTATACCAATTGAAATATATAGTTGTTTTTTTAAAAATTATTCTGTATTTTTTATTTCTATAAAATGTTATTTTATAAAAATAATTTCTTTTTGAATAGTAAGAACATATTTTGTTGTGCAACTCGTATTATATTGTAGTGTTACTTGTATTATGAAAAATATAAATCATGTGTACGTATATGTAACATGCTGCGGAAACTAGGAAAGTTGACATGTAATTCATATTCATATATATGTAATTTGAGATAAAAGGAAATGTAAATCCTTTTAATAAAAATGCAACTTTTCTTAGATAGCCATGGATGACTATCCCTTGATCATAGGAGCCCTAATTTCAGATCTTCATTCCTATGTCACGCGACCAGGACCCCTACCAGCTCCAAGGGATGCCCAATTTAGCCTGAAACTTTACAATTGAAGAAGACCTAGGTAGTTAGAGCAGACCCCCCCCCCCCCCCCCCCCCCCCGATCTCAATGAAATCATAGCCCCCTGTTTGAGCAGTAAATTTGTTGTGGATAACTGATGAGCTTGAAATTTTTCAGGATGGGAGGAGCTCAAGAGCTGGTACCGTGCAAAACGATGGGGAGGAGCTGACGATGGAGAGAAGCTTGAAATAATTCAGTTGGAAGAGACTGAATTTTATTAATCGAAACACCACTGTTTGGGATTGGCACACCATGCGCAAGATGGGCCGTTCCATGGTATAATTTGCGTTGAAGGAAGGAAAGACGTAGCAAGGCGGATGCTTCTTCCAAGACTAGCCTTCTCACAATTATTCCTTATTATGGAAAAAAAATAGTGGAGTCCGATCTCATCTAATCTGAACTGATTTGAAATTCAAGATCAGTTCAAATCAGATCAGACCATGATTTTTTTTAACTCTAATGATTGTGAGAAGTCTGATTTTGCAGCCTTAAGCATATGTTTTAGTCTAGCCCAATCGCCTAACGGCCCAAGACTAGCGAAAAGCGAAAGGTGAGTGTTACAGACGAAGAGATGACAAGTTGACATTGAGGCGGTTCGGGGTCGGGTATACCACTATTCGTACCCGCCCCGTCAAATAATTTCTCCCCCAAAATCGCCTCATTAACCGTTGGTTTTTATGCTCGAATTGTACTCGTTTAGAATGAGGATGAGGGAAAGTTTTATTAAAATATAATTTTATTTTTCTAATTGAGTATCCTAAAATGGTGATCAATTACTTAATCACTGACCACCTGAAAAATAAAAATTAATTAGCACCGCAAATCAATTATTTAGAAACCCCATAAAAAGTTACCATCAATTGAACCTAATATCCACAAATTATATACGCTTATAGTCAAATTTATGAATCTCTTATCGCATCAACGTCAAAATATGAAATCTTATCCCGATATTAAAATCTTGAGAAAATGAGCAAATAAGCCCACTGTTGGTCCCAGTTTATGCAGACTAACACACAGCTAGATGGATTTCATCGATAAACAGAAAGAAAGAAGATCTGATAATGATCAAACAATATCGAGAACATAGAAATTCTTCTTTCTGATGTATCGAGAACAATTTGGCAGCGTAAGGCTTAAGTGTATTCGATCGATATCGGCACCTGTACACAAGGCGCATATTTATAGGCGCTGTACAGGTTACCGATTTAGGTAAACCTTGGAAGTTGGGCTAAGGCCTTTTTGGCCCTTATTCCCTTTAACTTATTTATTACATAATAATTACTAATCTAATACCATAAATGGTATAACTAGTCTACTTTATTAAACAAGACATTACAGACAAACTTGACCCACAATAAAAGTTCTAACACCCACGTAGTAGCCACAAAAGGTCAAATAAGCCCTTATTTAGGAGGTTCTGTCCGGCGGTCGCCATTTGGGGTGGTTCCCGGTGGAATTTTTTTGATGAAAATTTTTGAGCATCTTATTCATTCAGTCTAGTTTACGCATACCAAATTTCAGCTAAAACTTCAATCGGGAAGACATTCAAATGAATTCTTGAAAATAATGGTGAAGTTAAAAACGCAATTATCTTCAAGAATTCATTTGAATGCTTTCCCGGTTGAATTGTTAGCTAAAATTTGGTATGAGCAAACTAGACTCAATGAATAAGATGCTCAAAAATTTCATCAAAAAATTTCACCGGGAACCGCCCCAAATGGCGACGGCCGGACAGAGCCTCCCAAATATTGACTTATTTGACCTTTTTTTTGTTAGTACATGGACTTATTTGCCCCTTTTCCCTAAAATCTTGATATGAATTACAAAACATTTCATTTCCAAACATTCAATAATCACAACCCACCAACATTCAACATCCAAATTTAAAAACATTAATGTATCAAGTAACATTCAAGTAACATAATAAAAATGGTACTTCTGATACTAAGAGTTATGTATTCTTGCAGTTACTGTTTTAGAAATTTCTTAGTTCAAATTTAAAACTTGATATAAATTAGAGCAACCCAATTCAGATTAGTCTAATCATCCCGTATAGCTCCACAAGATTCTTAACAATTAGTTAAAGAAAATTATAGCAATGTTTAGTAATATTTGGGCTTTAAACTCGTACGCGAGTATTATGAAAGGTGATAGGATGGGGAATGAGAGAGTCACAGTATGGAAATGTGTAGTGAAAATCATGAAAGTCAAATAATCATTATGTGAAAAAAATAATACTCATCAATTATAGAAAAGAAAATTTTGTAATAGATAGAAAATATTTGATGAAGAAGAAGATGATGAAAGAAGGATGATGAATGATATTGAACGTTCAAAATAAAAAATAATAAACATTGAAGCGTCAACTCATGACAATTGCGAAGGATCGCTGAATAACCAGATATGATATCAAAGTAATAGTTATGTATATTTAATTTGGTATTAGAGGGAATGAGCGCCATACACCAATGCACTACGAGTATGTTTAGCACAACTGACCGAGAAGATACTTTTATGAATTTTTCACCAATTGTTAATTTTTAGTGACTGGAAAGATTTTAAAGAAAAAGGTAGTAGCAGTTTGATTAAAAGATGACTTTTTTTGTTCTGTTTGGTTTACAAGATGTTAGGATCAATTGATGCTAAAAGCAACATACTTTTATCATATGCTACTCACTGTAGTATCTCAAAAAGATCTTTTATTTTTAAAAACTTTTAAAAATTGACATGTCAAACATACAATTAAAAGAACGTGCTAAAAAAAAATATCAAATATGTGATACCAGAAAGAGCTCGAAATGGTCTTGGCCAGATATTGGATCTTGTCAGTCTGGTCTCATATGAACGGCCTTCATACTTAATATATTACTTATTACCCATCCGTTTCAAAAAATTCTTTCAAATTTGGCATGGATCAGAGTTTAGGAAAATGTGAATAAAGTGAAGATGTATGATTATGGTTAGGTAAGAATGATGTAAATGAATGTTAGCCACATAAACTTTTCAAAAAGTGAAATGATAGATTTTTTAGAACATCTCAAAATGGTAAATTGAAACAATTTTGTGGGACCGAGAAAATAAATAGTAAATACATTCATATACAGAGAGTATAAGTTGATTATGCGGGGCCGGAAAACGGTGCGAATAACCATATCTAAATTAAATTGGGTCAGTAATGAGTTACGTGTGTACACAATCAACTAAGAAACATGTACAAATATGTACAAAAAAGTGCAAGAAATAGCTTTTCCCATCGCTTATTTCCTACCCGTACCCGTTACATAGTTGGGTATCCATCCCTACTTTTCGTTTTTTTGAAAGAAAGACACTCATTTATTCATAATATTGAAAGCAACAGTAGACAAAGCAGAGCAACAACTCATAGCAAACCTGGAGCGAGACATAGAACTAGCTAGGTCCGGAAGGCCATGCCATATCGTTAACTCCACAATATGGTAGACTAAACTATCAACATTGCTGGAATTGCTACTAAAACATAAATATAATAAACTCATATTCGAAGACTGAAAAGAAACATAACCACTAGACTCTTTGGTTTCACCAGCCACCAGCAAGGGAGAAGATGTTTTATCCACCACCTCCAAAGACATCATTTCGACTTGACGAAGGGAGAAGAGGTCTGTCCAGCCACCTCCAAATACTCTGATCAGAAGCCACTAATGGAATTCCAGGCAATGCTCATACATTAGCACCGCTCCAACGTCTTTTTTTATTTGGTCCTGTCTACCTCCTTATCCACCTCCAACACTTAAACCATGACATGATTTCTTAACTCGCATCAATTCCGTCTCAGGCAGCCCATCCAAACACACATCACACCCGACTAGCCAAAGCCAGTTGGAACAAAAACTCCCTAGAGACTAACGATCTGTTTGGATGAAGTGTTGAGAGTTGTTAGTAATGGAAGTGTTAGTAAGTGTTGGTAGGGGCTTTGAAGGGAAAGTAAGTGTAAGTGTAAAATATAAATTTACGTTGTTTGAGAGAGTTAAAAGATGAAGTGTTAATAACGGAAGTGCTTTCAATTAAATTGACAATAATATCCTTATCTAATTCTAAAACTAATATTCCCTCCGGTTCTTAATTAAGTTACTAGTTTGACTTCACACATATTAAGAAATAAATTTGACTTTACTTTGGAGTGTACTGTTTGAAAACTGTTTGACACTGTTTAAACACTGTTTGGCACTGTTTGACACTGTTTGACACTGTTTTAGTGTAAATCATTTGCCAAATAAGGAAAGGTTTGAAGTAGGAACTTTAATATGGACCATCCTAAAAAGGAAAGTAAGAACTTAATTACGGGACAGAGGGAATGCATTAGAAGCTCGCAATATACGAAGTCTCCACATCAAACATCTTTTAGGCATTTAGCCACGTTCCTTCAAATGAATGGGGTGCCTTTGAAAAATGATCTGGAAACCCCTCTATTCTCAACGTGGATCATTACTATTCATAAATAGTGATTAGCAATTATTAGTAATTCATACGTGAAGCAGATGAGATGAAAATTAATCCAAATCAGGGTGGCGTCTCTTTCGTTGCTAACTTGCTATACTTTTCGAAACACTTTTTTGCAGGAAGAAGATGATATAGGCACGGCACAAACTACAGGGGCAAGATTTGTCGAGCACTTCAAAACGATGGGAGCCTCTACCCTAGAGTGACTTACTTCCTCCCGATCGTCCGATCCACAATTCAACGGTTGGAGATCTTGGATTCCACTTTTTCGCCGATCTCGAGGCCATGTTGGCCACTCTCCCGTCCGATGCGTAAGACACCATCCTAGTCGGGTAGAGAATCACAATCCCTTCAAAACACTCCGATTTGGGGTGTTAAAAAAACCAATTATCCTAACTCTTACTAACACTTCATTTGTTTAAGGGTGTGATTGGGAGTTTGGTTTTGGGGGGAGGGGAAGGGATGTGAGGGTCAATGACCCCCCATTTTGTGTTTGGGAGTTTTTTAAAATGGAAGGAAAGTTTTTGGAGGTTTTTTAAAATCCCCGTAAACCCCTGAAAGGCTGACTTTTCTAATTCCGAATCGGGAGGTTTCCAAGGACTAATCGATCAAATGACTACTGTACACTGGTTATCTAAAGTTTGCCCCAGCTCTACGAACGGGAATCTGCTCCCAACTATTGTATCCCCTAGGAACCCTCCTTGCTGCTCGAAGCTTTTTCTCTGCTCGATCAAATCGCTAGGAACCCTTGCTGCTTGAAGTGGGTCCTCTGCTATCGACGCCATACCTTCACTACTTCACCTAAATTCTCAGGTATGTTCTATTTCCCAAGCATTTTTTGTATTTGTTGTAATCTGCTTCACTCTATCTCCGCTCAACATCTGGCCTCTCTGTCTCTCAATCGTATTTCACATTCCCTCAGATTGATTCAATTTTTCTTTGGATTTTTTGAGATATGGATTTTATACATGGTATTTAGCTTAGCTAGTCATGTGCTTCTTCGTATGATTTTTCTTCAATTTGTTATTCATTTTCATGGAATCATTGTTGGGTATTTAGATTTGAGATTTTTGATATTTTTTGAGCAAGCATTTATTCACCCATCATTAATTACAGGCTTATTTAATAAATTAAATTCCACTATCTGATAGAATTCTTTTCCAAAATGGTGGTGATAGAATTAGTCGCTATTGTATATGTATGTCTTAATTAATCAATCTATACTTACCAGATTTAATTGGCTGCAGTCTTGAAGAACTAGTAATACAAATGCATTTCAGAAATACTTTTGTTTTATGTATGTCTTAACACCATTTCAGAAATACTTTTGTTTTATGCAAATGCATTTCAGAAATACTAGACAACAATTTTTCCAAATTCATTTCAACCAATCAAGTATTCAACTGCAAAAGTCTATTACATATGGAGTATAAGATAACTCTGTTCTTCTATCAAAGTATATTTTGCCAACCATATATATAGGTTTACAAAATTGTGTCTGCAAATATGAGATGGCATGAAGAAGTGCAGCAACTGCAAAAGTCTTTTATATTAACCAATTTTTCTTTTTGACGCAAGCCATATCAGTGAAGGCAAAGTTTTGTGAAAGTCATTGTTATTGATTGGAATGTACTAGATAAATATAACTGCTAGTACTATGATTGGAAAGATATTATTGGTTATTGGAAAGATATTATTCTCCTATGATGGTTGGAGTTAATTTTCTTCTTTTATATATTTATTTTTCATTTTGCTTTAACTTTTTGTCAAAAGTATGGGTATATATATAGCAAGTTTTTAGATATATTATACTTCAATTATTAAAAACTTTTTTTTTGAAAAACAATAATTTTTTGTTTGCTTTTGTGAAATTCAAATGTGAATTTAAATATTGTTATTCATTTAAATAAACATTATGATGTTTAAAAAAAATATGACTTCATTTTCTGACTTTTGTTTTTTTTTACTTATTAGCTTACTAGTCATTTTTTTCATTAAATACTTAATTTTTTATCTTGTGCACTGAATTATATAATAATAAACCGATTTTGTTAATTTCATAATTTTTTTATTTGGAATTTGATTACCAAACATGCTCTTTATAATTTATATCCGAAAATATTGAAGCAATTTTTCAAGAAAAAATATCAAGCAACTAGTAATCTAAATAATAAAAATATATGTAACAACCAATGTACTATAATGTTTATACAATGAGAAAGGGGTCCATGAGTCATTTTAAATACATGTCCCCCAAAACACTCCACTTTTGGAATTTATAACTCCCAAACAAGAGGAGGGAATCCCTTCCCATCTCCCTCCCCTTCCCTTCCCTCTACTCCCCTTCAATGCCTTCCCCTTCCCTCACCCTCAAACTCCCAAACACACCCTAAATCATTTCTAAAAAACAAGCGTTATTATCAACCCTTCTCAACCCTTCTGGAACCAATAGAAAGAGCGATCGAGGCTATCTCCTCCAATACTAAGCCAGAGTGACAAACCTGATCCCTGCCCCTGCCTAGTTGCGGACGAAGCGCTGCACCGCTCTTCAATCCTCCTCTCTGCAGCTTCTCCAAGCTCCGATCGGCTGAAATCACCTAAGGCGGCGGCGGATTTGTTAGGGTTTGCTGCATCTCGCCATTCGCTTTTTCATCAATTATTATTGTTTCCCACAGTCGACTCTGAGTTTTCCTTTGAACATGTGTTCTCATTTCTTATGTTGTATCCATCCCTACTTCGATCTTCGGTCTTCACTCTTCAGTCGAACAAAAAAAGGAGCAGGCGCACTCCCTGCCTGATCTCGGCCTCTCAGTCCAGGCGTCCAAGTTTCCAACAGAAAGTGCTCACTTCCTCTGTCTTCCGCATTCTGGAGCGCGTGCGCCTTGCTCACCTTCAGGCTTCACTGCCTCACTGCTTCATGCTTCACCGATTTAACGTCTTCACCCGAATCACCACTTCAGCCTTCTGCCTTCATGTACTCCTCCGACACCTCCTTCCTCTTTTAAAGTTTTATTTTTTTTATTGATCAATAATTAATATGATTATTGGAATTTTTTCTTTATTAATTGATTTCTTTCATAGTTGTTTCGTGTTTTTAAATGGATAATGGATAAATAATTAGTTGATTTTTTGGCTGTTGAGTGATAATAAATCTTTAATTCATATTCTTAGTTGTTGATTTTTATGTATTGAGTGTTATAATTTGGCATTTTTTAGGTAAAGATTTTCAATTATGATTCAACTTATAAATTTATTCAATTTCAAGGTGTAATAAAAATGGTAGAATCTGGATGGGAGAGAAAAAGAAAGAAGAAGATTAGATAAAGCGGCTCTACGTAAAGATTTATGGCCCTAAGTAGAAATTGTTCAATGGAAAAACTCTTTTCTAACATGCATAATAATTTCAGGACCTTTATAATAAAGTAAAGACTTAGGCCCATATAATATTATCCGCCCTAGCTTTCAAAAACACAGGACCGGCCCTGGGATTTTAGTTCATTTCCATTTCATATCTTCCTATTTTTATTTTGTGTTGCTTTAATTTAGTGGAGATATGCAATGCTAAACACAAAAATCTGGGGTATTAATTCATATTTTATTTCCATTTCATATCTGCCTATTTCTATTTGTTTTTTTGTTTTTAAATAAATATCAATTTATTTCTTTAATTTAGTGGAGATTTGCAATGCTAAACTGACACAAAATAGTTTTTTATGCACCAGTGGCGTTTAGGGATACACTTACATATTTTACAACACAAAAGAGATTTTTATGCACTAGAGGCGTTAGGGGTAAGCTTTCATCTTTTATTCATTAATCTTTTCTTTTCTCGATTCCATATTGTTCATGTTTTTCATATAGTTAAGAAAATATAGTCAATGGTTTATAGTCAGCTATAAAAAAAATACATTCAACAAGTTTCTTTTATTTTAAACATTTTTAATGAGTTCTTGGCCTTTCTTTTGATTTCAATTTTTTTTCAAACATGTAGAGTTCAGCTTTTGAATTTTTATTTAAGAAGAGTCACATTTTGAATACTTCCTAATTTGTTAGCACCATTTACGGTTGCAGAGGTTCACATTTTGTAAACCACTTATTATGAATACTCAAATATCTAGAGTGCATATGTATTTAAGCTATTACATTAGTAGAAGGATTAGTTGGTTGTGGTTGCACTCTAAAAATTCAGTCTCGATAAAGAAATTGGATTCTTTACCAATTTGGATGAAAAATATAATTTCTACCTAATTTTTGGTACTTCAGCATTGATTTTTTTTTAAAACCATTTTCTCTACTGATAATTTAGGGGATCACATGTAGTATGCTCGAGTTGACTCTTCTATTTACTTCTCAGTTTTACGAAACTAATACTACCTCAGTACCTCCGTCTCCCTAATATTGGGACGGAAGGGAGTGGTGTGGTTTTTAAGAAAAGTAGAATGATGTGGTTGATAGTGAGTTGATAAAGTGGGAATAAAGTAAGAATGAATTAGAGCCACACAAATGTTACCAAATATGGTATGGGGCAATAATAGGGGGACATCCAAAAATGAAAAAATGAGACAATTATAGGGGGCCGGAGGGAGTATACTATTTTAACTTGATAATATTACTCGAAATAGGACTGAAAAAGTTTGAAAATTCCAAAATATGACTTTCATATTTTTATTCCCAAAATAGGACTAATTACTGTCATATTTTGGCAGTACCAGACTTCAAACGTGGCTATATTTTCCCAACTTGGCAATAAAAACATGGCAGTCATATTTTGGGACTTCAAACGTGGCTATATTTTCCCAACTTGGCAATAAAAACATGGCAGTCATATTTTGGGAATAAAAATATTTCACCAATTACTGTCATGTGTTGGGAATAAAAACATGGCAGTCATATTTTGGAATTTTCAAACTGTTTTAGTCCTATTTTGGGAACTTTCCCTTTCAGCTTTTGTTTTTTAATTTAACAGAATATTTATAGCGTCAATGAAAACTAAACTAACATGTCAAAAAAGTTCCCTTGCTCTTTCAAAAGTGATCGCAGCATACTATTAAAATATGAAAAGTGTAGTTTTAGCGGGAAATCCTGCATCTAATTCAATGTTTACATTTTTTGTCTTCATTTTTGTTCTAAAGGTTAAAACAAGTAAACACTTGTGTAAATATCCTTCATCTTTCCCTTGGAAAAATGGAGGGGGAAACAGGAAGCTCGGTATCCTTCACTTTCTCCTTTTCCAAATTATTTTTGATAAGAGCTTTCAGAAGTAATACTAAATGCAAAAACAATGGCAAAATTACCATTGCATCACCCCTCGACTCTCCTGTCAGAAAATCACAATCCTTATTAGTTTTTAAGCTTTGCACACACGACAGTGACTTTTTGAAAAAATATAAACTGATATTTGATAATGGGGTGGGGGATTAGAGTTGAAAAAGTGTGGAAAAGGGGCAAGTGTTTGACCATTCTAAGGAGACCATGTAGACCACTTTAATTTGCATTCATACCAGATGTGAAATGACCCACACTTACCCATGCCTTGATCTGCACATTTGGTAATGTGGGATTGTGGCCACATTGAAGTTTGCCAATGTTGACTCATAATTTTTTTGGTAAATATCCCTTAATGTGCCCATGATAGCTCCAAATGCTTCTGCACATACACAATTGAATAATCTGAAAGCAAGTTCCGATTATTACAGTTTTATATATAATACCACAAGTAACAAAATTCCTCGGTCAATGGCAGATTTATACATGGAGCCTCCAACCTTTTAAAGTCTTTCTAAGAGTTTCCTTGGTTCACTGCCTTGATGTTTTGCATTTCGCCAAACATCAAGGCAGAATATAGTTTAATAGCTTCAGTGTTCCAGAAATCAAGTTTTGTAGAAACATACTACCTCTGTCCCAAATTGTTGGTCAACTAATGTAAAGTTAAATCCTCCCTATCGATAAATATAATTCAATTTTAATAATTAAAATTTACATATTCAGAAACTGCATTAAAATCTCTATAAAGTTGCAAAATCCAAATTAAATTGTATCCTAATTAAGTTAATAAAATGAAACTGTTTGACCCCAAAGAGTCAAATTTGCAACTCAATTTGGGACAGAGGGATAGATACTTAAATATTATGAGTACAAAACATCAGGCATAGGCATGTTTCATTAAACTGGCTGCAGTTGAGTAAGGACAAACGCCCACTGGATATGTACGAATGATTTGTACAGCTTAAGTCATCCAATCATATCTCAACTAGAATAAACAATTAGTAACATCCAAGCACTTCTCTGTTACCATTTGGCCAGACAATCTCTTTTTATGTTTCAAAGTTGTTGTTGGATGAACTTATCTCTGAAATTGAGGAGTTCCGAAGTAGGTAAATTGTTACATGAATTTTAATGTGTGAGTCATGCACATTATTCTATGTCATTATGTGTCTTTGTTTTATTTTTTAATCTAAGAATTTTGATGATTTAGGTACAGATTTGAGAAGTTGATACACTACAAGCCATTAATGAGTCACGCGGAGATGGGTCGAATAAATAGATCTTTGCTATACAAGATGCAACTTTTTTAGGGATGGATGACTCCACATCCTATCCGCCTATAGAACCTTCCAGCTTTGATCTAATCGTTATAGGTACCGGTGTATCGGAATCCATCATTGCCGCCGCGGCCTCTGCCGCCGGAAAATCTGTCATCCATCTTGACCCCAATCCATTCTATGGTTCTCATTACGCTTCTCTCCCCCTACATGACTTCACTTCATTCCTTCAATCCCATTCTAACTCTTCCTCCTCCCCTCATCCTGCTTCACAATACCACCATGAATCAGATTTCCATCTCATGCCGCTTTGTACTCGCCAGCTGTACTCCTCCATTGATGTCTCTCTGTACTCACAGGAGCCTATGAACTACTCCAGCAAGTTCAACATTGATTTGGCCGGACCTAGGGTTTTATTTTGCGCTGATTCTATGGTTGACCTCATTTTAAATACGGGTATCAATCTGTATATGGAGTTCAAGTCGGTGGACAGGAGCTTCATCTATGATGGAAATGGTAACTTGGATTATGTGCCTGATTCGCGCAGTGCAATTTTCAAGGACCGCAATTTAAGTTTCACTGAGAAGAATCAGTTGATGAGGTTCTTCAAGATGGTGCAGGGGCATTTGGGGGAAGATTACACGGAAATCAACCGGATATCTCAGGATGATTTGGAGAGTCCGTTTTGTGAGTTCCTGAGCAAAATGGGGCTTTCATCCAAGCTAAAATCGTACGCATCGAATTTTCCTTTTTTCTAGATTTCATTATTTATTACTGAAATTACCTTTTGATTTCCACATTAACATCAGTTCTTTGTGAATTTAAAATTCGTTTACGGATTGATTACTTTTCTGCTGCGCCACAGCCCACTCGGTTTAATTCAAGAAGCATTAGCTAGATACACTGAAATCACAGAGATATATTTTCAATAATAAAATTAAAATCTAGATAGGAGGCTAACAAACCTCATTGGGAAGAAGCTCTACCTCAGCTAAATAAGCATATAGCATCACTAACACAAGACTGAATTTTTTGATCAACTGTTTAATTTGATACTCAATATTAGCCTATTAGGATGCTTACACGGGGAGGTTCCACTATTTTTTTTATGTTTACACGTGTTGTTTTTTGGTGAATCCATTAACGGACATGGAAAACTTTTTACATTTTGAATCATCATTATATAATCCAGGCTAGAGTGTCTAATTTGAAACTCAATATTAGCCTACTAGGATACTCACGTGGAGGGATTCCATCAATGTTTATGTTTACATGTGCTTTTTTGGTGAATCCATTCAGAGCCCGTTTAGTTAAACTGAAATTAGCTGAATCGGTTGATTACTATGAAGTTCTGGATGAAGTGGTTAGATTGGCTGATTTATGAAAAAAATTTATATTTTAAATATATGTTAGTAATAAAACAAAGAAAAATTATATGAAAAATATCTAAAATCATCCTCTACAGTAACTTCAGCCAATTCAGTCAGAAAAGCAACTCCAACCTTACTTATTTTGATTATTACACAATTCAGTGCATGAAATAAAAAATTACATGTTTGGTTAAAAAGTTGGCCGATGAGGCCGATAAGATGATAAATAGGGTCACCAAACGGGCTCTTATTGGACATGAAAATCAATTTACTTTTTAGGTGTTACTTAGTACAAGCCTAGAGTGTCTTCTGAACTCTGCACACTGCCTCGTAGACTGATCTGCTTTATTGCACATCAGTCATTGAATTCACATCACCTTGGTGTGCTTCTCCTATTGAGTAATAATTTTTTTCTTTCACTTGTCCTCCAGTTTAAAGGAAAAAAGAGGCAAAGAGAAGGGACGTTTTTTTTCCAGCTACACGATAACTGATATCAGTTTCTTTCTTCCAATGCAATTGTAACTCTTCTACATTGCTTTTCTGAAGAATAATTTTTTCCTGCTTTTTCCCAATGCGATTGCAACAATTTTTTACATGCTTTTTAGTCTGCTTTTTATTCCAGCATGATCGAAGTATATATGAAATCTCAACAGTATTTTATCAATTATTTTGTGACAGCCACAGTTTTTTTCCCATTTTTTGGCAGATATTCTTTGTAAAGTTTTTGTTATAGTATATCTGGCTCATTTAATGTTTTTTCTATAGGATTATACTTTATGCTATAGCCTTAGCAGCTGATGATCAGGAAAGTGTGGAGGGTTATAAAGTTATCAAGACCAGGGATGGGATAGATCGTTTAGCTCTTTATCACTCTTCAGTGGGCAGGTTATTGAGTGATTTCTCACCTTTGCCTATTGATTATTTCATAAAATGCGTGTTTAAAGTTAAAACATGTATTTTATTATTAGTGATATGCATATGCAGTTTTGATGAAGTAAATTTGAGAATTAAACATTTCTGGTTGTAGACTTGTAGCAACCTTTATCTTAGTCTGGTTTTCACTTTTTAGGTAATCTGAAATTTATAATGAACAAAAATATGTTGGCACGAATAATCACCACTCTTTTTTATGATACACAGATAGTAAAGTAATGAGAGTTTCAGAAGAATAAATACTACCTCTGTCCCACTATGTTTGGGACAAAGGAGTGTGGCACAAATTTTAAGAAAAAGTGGAATTGTGTGGTTGATGTTGAATTGATAAAGTGTGAATAAAGTAAGAATGAATTGTAACCACCCAATATTGCCAAATACGGTATGAGACAAACTTAATGGGACGGACGAAAAAGGTAAAACGGGACAAAGTTAGGGGGACGGAGGGAGTAATACTTAAGATGTTTTTTGTTAATTTGGAGGTTATGACTTGTGAGCATTCTAGTGTATTCTTTTTTATGAACTTGGCTCTTATAGGAATTCAGTGAGTCATTTATTGCAACATGATAGTTTACCATGCAGGTAGATTTTTTTTTTGGGGCAGATTGGCATGAAAATAATTATCTTGTTAATTTTTTGGCACCTAGAGAATGATATATTGTTGTACAGGTTCTCCAATGCACCTGGTGCTATGATTTATCCAATGTATGGCCAAGGGGAACTTTCACAATCCTTTTGCCGGCGTGCTGCTGTGAAAGGGTGTATAAATGTGAGTGGAGCACAATTCGCTTTTTTCCGTAAATTTTGCTCATATGAGTTCTTTCTTTGCATGATACTTGTTCCCAAATGACTATGGTATCTTTTTGTGTAATATGTGCTGTTATCCTGAGGATATGATTTTGCTGTGCATTTTGTTTCTAGGTTCTTCGGATGCCTGTCAATTTTATTCTCAAGGACAAGGTTGGAATGATGTATTTAATAAAATATAAATGTGGATTTCTACACCCGTATATGATATGCCCTTGCTTTGGGTTCATTGTTTATCTGTTTTATGCATGTCACTTTGATGTTTTCCAGGGAAGTGGAAATTACAAAGGTGTCAAATTGGCTTCTGGTCAAGAACTATTAAGTCATAATTTGATATTGGCTTCACCATTTGTAATTCCCTTTGATACTGTCGAGTCTCGTAATCAATCTCTGCAAGATGATTCTCTTGGTCTTGATGTAGTGAAAGAGAAGCTGGTTAAGGGAATATGCATTGCAAAGTCCTCACTGAAACCAGATGTGGCAAACTGCTTAATATTCTTTCCTCCTCGATGTATGTCTAACCCAATTGTATAAATAAAAGGAACGTTTTCATTTTTATTTTACTTTTTAATTCTTTATTTTTATGATTTTATGCAGCTTTGATCCCTGAACAGGTGTCATCAATTCATGTCTTCCAGTTAAGCAGCAATGTAGCGGTTTGCCCCAGTGGAATGTGAGTTCTGTTGTTATGCATGCTAATATAAAGTGTCATAATGTAATGGGAAATGGTGTTTTAACACCACCTTTGACATAAACATCATGCTTTGTTCGCTACTCACAGATGACACGAGGACTTGCCTGTGCATGCACAAACATGACAGTACTTGTGTCAGTGTGTTAGAACAAAAAGTTATGTCTATGTGTGCCCGTGCGAGCTTGTGTTAGAAGTTGGTGTAAATGTCTTCAGTTGTAGACATTCCTCTAATATAAAACGGATGGTTGCATAATGGCGTTGGTACATAGAAGAAAGAAGTTACTCGGACAGAAAATAAGTGTATATGGATAACTTTTTCTTCAGGTTTGTGACTTACCTTTCAGTTATATGTGAAGATGCTGTGCAAGGGAAGAAACTGCTTGACGCAGCCATTAATGCATTGTTCTATGTTCCTGTTTCTGGTACTTCTCAAAATGATCATACAGACCATCCAAATTCAAATGCCAAACCGGCAATACTTTGGAGCACCTTGTATGTACAGGAGCTGACAAAGGTAAATGTATCATTGCCATACTTCCATATTCCTTTTGAAGTTTCAGTTGTGACAACCAGTTAGGTCATGTTGTGTACTGCTCTGAGTTCATTTTTCTTGTAGGGTAAATATATCTTTCAAAACTCCCCCACCTTAAAAAAATGGTCATGTATTGTGAACTCTTTTTTGTTTTAAAAAATAGCCCTGTTTTAAAAGTAAACTTTCACTTATTAAATTTTAAACATGAAAAACTAATTATCAAGGAATTTTAGTCAATAATTTTAAACAATATCTTTGAGTTACGTCACGTCATCACCTACGTGTTGTTTAGGACTGTTTAATCAGATTTTGGAACATAATGCTGATCCAAGACGACACTACATTTTTTAATCCAATTGCATATCAAATTCTAGAACAATAGAACACTGATTTTTGGCACCCTAGATCCATTCTCACTGTCAAAACAAAGTTTTTTTGGGACGGCTGGATTATTCGTCACGGGTTCTTCGCATTTGTGGCACTGAAATCATGCTCTCGGTTGGATATGTCATATGTATGTGATTCCCCTGGCAGTCTTTTATTCTCAAGAATAGCATGTGATTCGCGTATTTGGATTTGAAAAGTCCAGAAGTCGGGAAATTCCAAGTCTTTCTTATGGGAAAATGCCCTAAATACAAGAAAAAACGTTCTGAAATTCCAAAATAGGACCGCTATTGTTTTCTAACTTTTCTTCTCGAAATAGGAGTCATTACTGACCTGATTTAAAAATACCGCCATAAATGGCAGTAAATACAGTTGGAATTTCCAAATATATTTATTCCTGTGTCTTTTAGGAAGAAAGACATAATAGTCCTATTTTGTTCCCAAGTTTTATGAAATTGGTAGCATACCCCACATACAATGAGATTTGATGGAAGGAATTGGGTAACATTTGGTCATTCCAAATGTGGTTTAATGACTTTTATCTAAAGTAATCTAATTTGCAGTAATAATGCAATCCAGACGAGGCCAGTGATTCTATCACGCAATATACACTTCTTATGTCAACATGAGTGGGGTTCTTAATCTGTCTGACATGTTTTTTTTTCAGGAAGGTTCATTTGATTCTGTCGCTTCAGTCTCAATGCCGGACGGGAATCTGCATTACAATGAGGTTTTGGCTGCCTCTGTTAAGGTAATAAAGAATGTGCTTTTCCCATTCTGACACAAGATTTTTTTGTCAGTTCAATTGTACTGCTTAATTAAAAAAATGCCGCTACCAGTAATGAAATCATTAAGTTTTTATTGTGACAGATATTTGAGAAAATGTACCCTGGTGAAGATTTCTTACCAAAAGCGGCTACATCGTCTGAAGAGGAGCATGTGTGAACGACTACTGCACCACATATGATAGGGATGTTTGAGGGATGCGGTTGGACTTGGACTCGTCATGCTGCCTGTTGTAAACATATTATTACTTTCTCCCAGAAAATAGGGCAGTTTAAGATTCAAAGCTGAACCAAACCCAACTTTAGATAGTTTGAGTTTGGTTAGTTTAACATCTTCACAAGCTGAACCCTTTTATAGATTAGTTCACCGACATTCACGGGTAATTGTGACTTAACATGTTACTGAGTACATAGTCAAAAAGAAGCTTCAAATTATGGAAAAATCAAATATATTTTTTGATTTACAACTTTATTCAAGAACCATGTATCTTTTTATCGAGTATTCATCAGTGTTGGACTCGGGCTGGGTGGCCCGACCCGGAACCGGGCCCGGCTTGGTACTGTTTGAATCGGCCTGACCCGGTGGCCCGCCCAGGGACCGGTCCGGGTAGGCCCGGTCCGTTGGTTTTCCGGGGCGGGCTCGGGTAGGGGAATTAAGGAATGGCCCGGCCGGGCCTGGTTCGGGCCAATTTTTTTTTTTTTTTTTTCAATTTTTTTTTTAACATTCCCGGGTTGGGCTGGGTATTTTGGGCCATTTGGGGGTGGTTTGGGGGGTTGGGGGTGAGGGGGGGGGGGGGTAGAAAAAGGAAGTTGGCCCGAGGCCCGACCCGGACTCGGGGGATACCTGGGCCGGTTCTGGGCCTCCTTCAAAAATCCTGAGGCCTGACCGGGCCTAGGCCCGGCCCGGGTCCAACACTAACTATGTATAAGTATAACATATTGGTATTATAAATTATTGTTTCTGTTTGCTTTGTTCGTTTGTTGTGTGCTTCGTTCACTGGTCACTACTCACTAGCATGACATTGGGTGGCTAACTAGCTGAATTTTTTTAGCTCGAGTTTCATTTGCTGTTAAAATAATCAAATTGAGGAGGTTTGGTTTCATAAATTTTATAGCAGTTACGTCTAGTCATGGCCTCGGGTCGGGTCGGATCCGGGTTGGGCCTGGGCAGGCTTTTTATGGTTGGGGAGAAGGCCCGGGACCGGCCCGGGTTTCCTTCGGGTCCGGTTCAGGTCGGGCCGGGCCTCGGCCTGGTTTATAATTTTTTTGCTTTCCTAACTACCCCTGACCCCCAACCCCAAAACACCCAATCCAATCCGGGGGAAACAAAAAAAGCTGGAAAAAAAACATTTTTCCCCGACTGGGCCCGGGCCGGGCCGGGTTGTCATATCTACAGCCCGAGCCGCCCACCGCTACTCCCTACGGTCCGGGTCAAAAACCGGTTTCGGGTCCGAAGCACCGGGCTGGTTCCCGGGTCGGGTGGCCCGAACCGAGTCCAAGACTAGTTACATCATAGTATGCTAGGATTGCTAGCCATTAGCTATATACGTAGTATTAAATTGAGAAGGTTTTGTTCCTTAGATTTGATATCTTTATGTTAATAATAGTGATAATCACAACAGTACTATGAAATGAATTAAACATAATCCATTAAGGGTATGTTTAAGTGTTCAGAGGGAAGGAAAGTGGAAGATTTTGAACTTTGAAAGTTAGTTCTAGGAGGGGATGAGAGGGGAAGGGGAGGAAACCATTCTACATGTTTGGGAGTTGCAATATTGAATAAAGAGGGTCAGAGGGGTTGATGAATTCATTTTAATTATTCATTTAAATAATTAAAATCATTTTAAAGATATGAGAATTTAAATAGTTGAATTTATATTCATTTTTAATTAAGTTAAAGTTACTGTATCATGTAATTATTTATCTTTCAAAATCCAAAATAAAAATTGAACATTTGAAAGATTTTGAGGGGTTATTTATTCACAAATTATGAGAGTATTGCCCATCACAACTCTTGTTCGAATAGAACGGAGTGCTTATTACTTTGCTAACTTTATTAACTTGCTCTCGTAATGTCATTTGCTATGTAGGTTGAAAATTGAAATGATATAATCTATGCCCGGCTCATATTATTTAATTTATGTCAGATTAAATGGTGTAATTATCAATTTGTATTCCAGTTAAATAAATGTATATCTTTAACTTTGCTATTGCATGTGTTAGTTATTAGATGCAACTGATATGCACACGTGCAAGACAAAAAATATTAAACCATCCCTAAAACACAACGAATCTCTCTATATACCTAAAAACTCCACATATGAAAAAAAAATCATGTGTGAGTTATTAGATGCAACTGTTCGTCTAATTGTAATTTCACACTAGCAAACAATAGACCTTCTGATCAGCAAACCTGCCATTCTAATCATCGTTGTTTTGGCTTTCTTTTATCATAATCAAGGCCGAAAGTGACAAGATTACAAGAACGATAATAAGAATATACTACGTTTTATAACATCCATCTTTGGCCCGTAGCCTTGATTGTTCTTTTGTTCTTTTACTATCAATTGTTATATAGTGGAATGTATCCATATATACTAGTGTAACCAGTATATATATTTAGGGATGAGCCGGTATAAACGATTGAAAAAAGTGCATGCAATTTTTATTTTTTGCGATCACATTCATGCATCATGCTCGAGTTGACTTTTCTATTTACTGCTCGGTTTGACGTCAAATACTTAAAAAAAATCCATCTTTTTAGAAATAATTAAATGTTTTTGAATAAAATAAAGATTATTTATTAAAATATGACTAGTTATTATAGTAATAACTTATGTTCAATTTTAAACTTAAATGACAATGACACTGTACTATATATAGTAAGTTAGTAACTCTCTGTATTAGTCATATTTGTGTATGGTTGAGGTTTATTCCTTCAACCTTTAGGTCCAACACGTAAGCCCAAAGATTTCGAGTGGAGTAGTGTATATGTGTTTGAATAAACTAGCCCAACAAGCAATTATGATGGATCAAGAGACAGGAAATAGCAAGTAAGAGATTATGTATTATTAATCAGTTAATAACTCCCCAATTCAATACGCTTGCTAAGGCTCGTCGGCCGTTCGTCTTACAAGGCAGTAGAAAAGCTGCGAGTAAGAGAAATATAAGCTAGAGTGCTAAGAATAGTAAGTTGCCAACCCTTCACAATGAAATAAATGCTACTATTTATACCACCAATGGGCAGTTGGCTACGCTGACGTGGAGGACTGTATGTGGCGGATGTCCCAACCACCAAATCTCCAGCATTAAATGCGTTTCCCGTCAGAATCTGGGTTTCCCGCCTAACGAGGCGTTGCTTGCTTTCTAACGAGGCGTGCAGTACATCCGTATATATACATAGTGGCATGTTGCACTATTCTAAATTAGACTAACTAGGCTAAATACAATATGGCCTAATTACAAATATTATATATATACACATGCGTTAACATCCCCCTCAAGTTGGAGCATGCGGATCCAAAATGCCCAACTTGCCAAGAAGGTAGTAAAACTGCCGTTTACCAAGAGCTGTTCATCAGTAGAATTTGATGAGTAGAAATGATTCCATCATGAATAGCATCACGAACATAATGACAGACAATCTCAATGTGTTCATGGAAAACGAGGTTCTGAGCAATATGAAGTGCTGAACGACTATCACAAAATAATGATATATGATGATCGTGAGAGATACCGAGAGTGTGAAGTAGTCCCTTGAGCCATTTTAACTCTGCAGTAACTGCTGCCATGGAGCGGTATTCAGCTTCAGTGGAAGAGCGGGATACAGTATGCTGCTTCTTGTTTTTTCATGAGACAAGAGAGCCACCCAAGAAAACCAACCATCCTGTTAAGGAACAACGAGTAAGGGGGCAGCTGGCCCAATCAGAGTCACACCAACCGGTATAAGAGACAAATCACATTATGGGCGTAAAAGAATTCCTTGTCCCGGACAAGCTTTAAGATATCGGACAACCCGAAGAGTCGCGTGCCAATGTTCCGTTCGCAGGGCCTGCATAAACTGAGACAAAATATGAACAGAATATGCTAAGTCAGGACGAGTGAAAGACAAATATATAAGCCGACCCACAAGACGGCGATATGACTCCGGAGCAGATAATAATTCACTCGTGGACGAAGCTAAATTATGATTCAGTTCCATTGAAAATGATGCAGGTTTTGCCCCAAGAAGTCCAAATTCATCAATAATATCTAGCGTGTATTTGCGCCGACAAAGAAAAATGCCAATCCGCATTACGAGTCACTTCGATGCCAAGAAAATATTTAAGAACACCAAGATCCTTCATGTGGAAACAAGAGCTCAAATATGTTTTAAATTGAAGCAAGGATTGAGTGTCATTTCCTGAGAGAATCAAGTGATCCACATATATTACCACATTTAATTGAATCAACCCTTTGCGGTAGGTAAAAAGGTAATAATCAGAATAAGACTACTGAAATCCATAATTTTTCAATGAGCCCGCCAGTTTGGCGAACCAGCACCTTGGTGCTTGGCGCAAGCCATATAGAGATTTCCGCAATCGACACACTAAACCAGGCCGAGAAGATGAAAAACCTGGTGGAAGTTTCATATAAACTTCCTCGTCAAGATCACCATGTAGAAAGACATTATGAACGTCCATCTGTTGTAATTCCCAAATACGAGCTGCCGCAACTGCTAGAAAGGTACGCACAGTGACCATTTTTGCCACAGGGGCAAAAGTCTCAGTATAATCAATGCCTTCCTCTTGGTGATTACCGAACACCACAAGTCGAGCTTTGTACCGTTCGATTGAACCATCAGAATTATATTTGATCTTATAGACCCATTTGGAACCAAGTGCTTTCTTGCCGTCAGGTAAGCATGCCATCTCCCACGTATTATTATTTTTGAGAGCTGTGATATCATTCTGCATGACCTCACGCCATTTATCATCCGACATAGCTTCCTGAAATGAGCGCGGTTCTCGACCTGCAAGAAGGGCCCCAAGAAACGCAAGATATCGTGCAGAAAATTTATCACAGTTTATATCGTGCGTAATAGGATATCGCGTACATGAGGAACCAGACGAGACGGGTGATGGCAGAGATGGGCTTAAGTCTCGAACATGATTTGTAACAAAATCCCGAAGAAGAACTGAAGGGCGTTTAGGACGCATGCCACGACCCAACACAGGTGGCTCGGTCGATGTAGTGTCAGCCGTACTATCTCCTACATGCTCGTGCATAGAAAAATCGGTCTCACCTGTAGTTTCAAATGTGGCATTGGCCGCATGTGTTGTTTCCAGTGAATCAGTATAAAAAACAATAGGTTCAGTAGCCTGCAAAATCATCTCCTCCTCCTTATTCCCCGACTGTGACGAATTAGAAGGTACCGAAAACGGAAATTCGTCTTCATAAAACTTAACGTCG